TCCCACAAAAATTTGGGCTAGATCGGTTCGGCCGTTTTGATGTTTTTTGGACACAAACAAACAGACAAAAAACACCAATACACCCAGACAAGCAAAGTTTATATATAGATGATATACTACTGTGTAACCTTATACCATTCTCTTCTGCAAAAAAATTTATCTTTTTAAAATCTTAATGATATTTAATATTTCTTCATGCTTTTACACAAAATGGTGATTTTAACCCTTTTCTCAAACTGCGTGGACTCAGGTTTAATGCCGCGTCTTGTGCTTTGTCGGTAAAACTCCCTTATACTTTCAGGCCATGGACTCCCTGGACTTATAGATCCAGAACTCTATTGGGCCCTGGAACTACAAAACAAAATCTCGTCCTGGCCCCACAAATCATTGTCCCAGCCCTGGAAAACAATTGTCCGAGCCCCATATCGTTCACCCCCCCCCCCTCTAGTAACGGGTATAAGGGTATCTAATTCTAACCTCGTGGAGTGTGGAAGTTATGACTGTGTGAAATATCAGTTGTTAAAGACCCAGGATTAATTCCTAAACTTTGGTCTATCCGCAACTTAAACTTGCAACAATAACAAAATATTAGAATTTATTAAACGTTTTTAATTTCCATTTTCTATTTTTAAAAAAAAATAATGGACTTGAATCATTCGTAAAAACATAGATTTTTATAGAAAAAAAGTCGTAAATGTATTATTGTGAATCAGCATTCTAATTAAAGAACAGTGGTAACCAGAAAACTGTAGAATAGGAAAACGACATTGAAGCAACACCTGAGGTGCATTTGATGTTATTACTGAGCAAATATCTTTACTGGTAGGTTATCAAATAACTTATTCAGTGATTTGGGTCTGTTTACGATACACAATTGCTGTGTCTTATATTCATTTGACTATTTAAAGTCATAACTTGAGTTTAAAAGTCGTCTTCCTATTCCAGAGTTTTCTGGTTATCACAATAGTTACCTAGAATCATGGCAAACACCCTAATATTTGTTCACAGTATCCATCTTACCAAAAGTATAATTTATGTTACAAATATTTTGTTCTAAATTACGAATATAATGTGCAGATAGAACAAAATGTGAGAAAAAATCAGTGAAGATATATTTACACACATTGTAAAAAAAAAAAGGTTAAAATTAATATTTATCTTTAGATATATTTCAATTGTTTGTGTGGGTGCTTGTTTGCTGTTTGGATGGTTTGTTTGTGTCCATGAAAATGTTTGAATGCTCAACAAGGGGAGGAAGGCCAGCCACAACAATTTCTAGTCCGAGCCACATTCTCAGCATTTTCTCGTCCGAGCCACCTCGTTTTTTTTTAAAGTGTCAAAGCCGACAAGAAAAAACTATTTTTTTATGAATCAGGCAATAAATGAAATAAATGAAATATTGAATTTTTGTTAATCGAAAAAATAGTTCCAATTTATCTAAACTTTTTGAGTTTAATGTCTTTGAAAATGTTCACCTTTTTTACACGCATTTTCAGATATTCCTGGTGTAGAATGTCGCAAATAATTCCGAGTTTATAAAACTTTAATCTTTTTTAATGATTGTTATTTAAAAACCATAGAATTTTTCCGTTGGTTCCATGGGGAAAAATATAGGCAGAGGTATAATTTGCTATTTATTTCATATCGCGTATTGGTTAGCCATTATAGAGGCAAAGAGATTTAAGTTTTACCTGAATAAAGTTTGACATCATTCTCATGACATTAAAGATTCCAACTTGATGTAATACTTTAGTTTACCCATATTTTATGCCCTAACGTGGCCAGATTTTTAAAAATAATTTTATCTTCAAGAATTAGAAACGTAAAACAAATAATAATTGAAGGATGACGATTTTGTGGTTCAGACGAGAAAATGAGGAGAATGTGGCTCGAACTATAAATTTTTGTGGCTGGCCTTCCCCCCCTCGCTTAACAGATCAGCCGCAAATCTTTGAGGTAACTCTCTTGACCCCAGAGCCCGAAATTTAAGACCGGGTATTGTCATGAAACCCTGTGTCGGAATCCAGGGTTCATAAATGGGTTAATTTTGTTGATATATGATTTTTTTTTAAAAATATTATTTCATATGATTAGTCTCTTCTCTTTACAGAGTTTAATACTATTATAGTCATTCTGTTCAGTAATTCAAAAAGTTGGAAGAGTTTTTAAATTTACAGAAGATATTTTTTGTTGCGGATTTTCCATTCAAAATAATTTCTTTAAGTTTTTCATCTCCTTGATCTTGTCATTTAAAGCTGGGTCCCCTCACTCGATTCTATTTATAATGATCATGAAATTGTGGACCATATTTTTTCAAATATATAAAGAGAAAAAATATCAAAATATTTCTGTGGCGCTTCGTAAATGTCATTGCATCATACCTAATAGAAATTTGAACTATTTTCTCTTTTCCAACTTAAAGAAAGTCAATTGTTCTTAAGTAATCCTCTCACAAAAACCTGAATATATGTCTCTTTGTCTGCACAAGGTTATATAAAGAAACTGAAGATTTAAGAAACTGCATATTAATAACTACAGAACTATTAGAACTTTTACAGGCTTTAAGTTCCGTTCTTAGTTAAAGAACGAACAGTCATCCCATTTCGTTCCGTTCTCGGTGTTCTTAGTCGAAGAACGGTAACATCCCCCGGAAAAAAGGTGCACCGTTATAATCATGTCGGGGAGTTCGAAAAGCGGAACTCTGAATCTTCAAAAACAGAGGTTCTGCGGCAAACTAAAGTGATGCAATTGAGGTGCACCTCTCTTGGAGAATTTAAGGTGCACCTCTTTTGGTGAATTTGAGGTGCACCTCTTTTGGAGAATGAGGTGCACCCTAATTCTAATAGTCTTGCTGCTGTATTTTTATTGAAAATTGCTCTATGAACATACTTGAGTATTATAGCGACGTACTGCACTAAATAATTTATAGTTTAAACAGTTAAAATAAAACTTTATTTCAATTTAAAACAATTGTCTATGCAATGTGTTCATTGTTCAATACCCCCCCCCCCCCTACCCAGCTAACATTAAATCTTCGCCAGAGTTGGAGATAGATAGATAGATAGATAGATAGATAGAGAGAAGAGACGTGAAGATAGATGGATAAACAGGGGAATATTAAATTAAAGGGATCCGTTCACTAGATTTATTTTGGAACTGAGTTCTTCTAATCCCTGTATATTGGAACTGAGTTCTCGTCACAATCTCAAATGTTCTAATCCCTGTATATTTGCAACCTGGTGCATAATCCGCTCATATTTCAAACTTGATTTTTTCATCTAATATGAAGTCATAATTTGAGATGTCAAATGTGTGCTAAGTTGGGTAAGGGTTGCAAAGATATAGGGATTAGAAAATCAAAGTTTGAGGCAAAAACACAGTTACTTTGTGTCGAAATAATTCCAACGTCTTCATTAGACACTCAGGATTTCCAAATGAAAATATGATGCTAAAATTACCTTGAAAAGATTACATTTTAATTTTAGACACTTTTTCTGAAACTGCAAAAAGCATATTTTCCCAAAACAATAAAACACGTGAAAATGAGAGCTATGAATTTCTACGTATTTTTATGCCCACTCCCCTCTATAGCTGTATTTAATCATTGTGAAAATTTATGATTATCCGGCTTAGAATTTAACATCTTGTTTAAAACATATATCGTCATATTTCTTATTCCAAAAAATGTAATGTATTATGTATAATTTATAGAAAGTACGCATTCCCTTAAAAGATTGTGGGATAAAGTAGATTGTATTTGAATAGACTTAAATGAGATGATTTAGAATAACAGGTTTAACAACAATAAATTTTTCAGATTATCAAAATTTTCGTCAAATAATTCTGTCGTTTAAATCTTAACCTTAAAAAGGTTGGGGGGTTCACCCCTGAGTATGGTAGTAGTACGCTGACAATTCGGTGAGAAAGTCTACGATGTAGTATGTTGAATTCGGTGACATTTTTTCCGATATAGTATATTGATATCAGTGTATACCTCTCCGATATCGAATGTGGATTTTGGTGAAGAAGTCATCGCTGTAGTATATACTCCAAAGCACCGATGTCGAAGTGTAGATTTTGGAGTTCATTTGTGCGCTGTCGCATGTACGATTTGGTATATACGACAGTTCTGGGTGTGATCCTTTTACTATACCGCCAAGACCGACATCGAACCAGGTGATCGGAGCTCCGCCCAACTCCAGCGAAGCTTGTCGTAGAACGAGGTGGTATAACCGCCGTCGGTCTTTATGTTAGCTGGGTACTGAACTTCTGACCTTCTAACTTTCCGACCATACTGCAATATCGGACCTACACCAGCTGTTTCTTTTAGTATTATTTGAGGGTTAGGTTAGGTTAAGACAATTTCTGGGCCGAGCGCTGCGGCTAGGACAGGCTAGGGGCCGAGCGCCGCTGCTAGGACAGGCTAGGGGCCGAGCGCTGCGGCCACCAATTGTCCATATAGCTGCTGTAATACCACGTGCTAGTAAGTCGGATGTGTAGTATAGCGGATTTGGCGTAGGTCAGAAGTGGAGTATAGCGGATATGTGTAGGTCGAAAAATACACCACCAGAGCTGAAAACTTTAGAATGGCGGATATCGGGATTAATGCTTAATCCACTCTTTTTCTTGATCTCAAGATTAAATATTGGTTGTTCTCCTCTCATTTTTAATCTCCAGATTAATTATCCGATCAGGATTAAGGATATCCCATTCTAAAGTTTTCAGCTTCATGATTATTGGGAAACAAAATCGTCTTCGTTCAACGCCAGCTTTCCATATTTTGCCGCGGCATGTTATCAAAACCTTCTTCTAACGCCATTGTGGATTTATCAGCTGACATTTTCCCAGACCATTTCCATTTAAATTTTTCTAGTAATTTCTTTTCCTCAGGTCTGCGTCAGCTTTTTACAACCTTTAAAACATTTGGTTGATCTATATAAATTTCTATGTTTGTATTCTGAAAACAATATATTCGCTAAAATGACTAAACATGTCAAATTTATATAAATTGATTTTTTAGACAATATGAACGCTACCAGAGTTATTCTCCGTAACTTCAGCTCTACAGCTCGTAAGAATATTAAGGATGTCGAAGTAGACCTTCCAGCAAGTAAGTTGGGTCCGTCCAAATACACGGTTTTTTTCCCCCCCCCCCTTCCTATCCAATTTGTATAGGAGAACTAATCTTTAGCAAAAGTATTATCATCTATTTTTTATTATTTTAGGGTTAGGTTAAGACAATTTCTGGGCCGAGCGCTGCGGCTAGGACAGACTAGGGGGCCGAGCGCTGCGCCCACATGTCTTACATTTAATTTAAAATTGTTGAAAAAGTGGTCATGTACAAAATAGATAGGAGGGGGGGGGGGGTCCAAAAATCGTTCTCTAAGAAATTACCAAGACTTATTTCATTGTTGCATGAGGAAAGTAAATTATTGCGAAAGAAAACCGATCGATTCTGAGTAAACATGAGATTTATACTGAAGAAAAAATATAAAATTTTATATTATGAAAATCTTCTTGAATTTATAAACGTTAAATCAAGTTTCTGCGTTAAAGTATGAGGGGAGGATATTAACCGTCAATTTCCCCACCTCGTCTTCATAAAAACATTACATTTATTTCCCACAACTTACATGACCAAATTAACTTTACTGGGGGGGGGGGGTTTTTTTGAAATATACAAAACCTTCGGCCCCGAGAAACATATATATAACCATGACTTTTTAAAAGGCTACGCTAAGCTGAAGCAGAAGCAGAAGTTGTTCCAGATCGACAACGGGCTCAGAATTCACGAGAGGGGAGGAGCCATGGATAAGGTACTAAATTCTCTAAATATTTAGAATTTCCCCTCGCCCAGAAAATATTCGACCTAAAGGAATCTGATCTAGAGAATCTGACCTTGTATCCTAAATGTTAGGTATAGATAGATCGGACACGCTTCAGGTCGTTTCGTTTAAGGCACTTTTCATGTACCTCCCCCCCTTGCATGATTATATTTGTGTCGTAAAAAACATTCGAAATAAGGCAGGGACTCATTTAGAGATTTCATGGCTAGTGTGATACTTCACTTGCAGATTTTTATAGATTTTATAGATTTTATGATTGAACTTTAGTGGTGAGTCATTCTTCTGAATCCTTTTTACAGAAGTTAAGAAGTATTTCACTTCGAATTCTAAGACATGTTTAAAAAATACCTTTTTAACGAAATTCAAAAATGTGCACCGCACCTTTAATGGGATTTAATGATACAACTTGTAAAAAATAAAAATGTAATTGAAAATGAAAATTTTGATAATCTTAACATGGGTGATGGGTATTGGGTATCAATTAAACCGGCTTAAAACCGAAGTTTAAAACAATATACAAACTACAGAATTAAAAAGTATTGAAAATTGGGCAAGTTATTGTAACAAATTGTTTTTCCTCAAAATAAATTTCAGTTTTACTCTAAAATACTTTTTTTTGACCTAACTCAAACATTAAACCCCATTTGATGCAGCCATTATTTAATATTTGCGAAAAATGCATCTGATAAAGATGTCTTAGTATTCCTAGTAGAATACTTTTTTGTTTCTGTAAATTTTTTTTCAGAAAAGTTTGACACCCTTATTAAATATCTTACTATTTACATGTTTTATTTAGGTCCTGTACAACTTCTCAACCCTTCTCTGCATCGTCGGCGGAGCCTTGTGGGCTAAGAACGTTTACACCATGGCCTTTCCCCAGAAATAAATACTTAATCAGAGATTTACTGAAATTAGTATTCATATGTAAAGTAGTCGAAAGGGTTTAAATCTCAATATCATCTCGAGGTTTTATTTAATCCTTGATAGTTCATTGACCTGTATATTTATTTGATTAATTGACCAAGTGTTGATTTATTAAGATCAAATTAAGACCTGAGAACGATGTTTCAGATCAGTTTTCTTGTCTGATTCAAAATGTCCGGAGTTGTCGCTGAAGAGGGCTTCCTCAAACAAACTATTCCCTTCGATCCCAGGTTCCCCCCCCCCCCTTAACAAGATCCCCCATTCTTCTTCCGTCAACAATGGGTCCCCTTTCCCCATCTCTTTATTTTTTACCCTGAGCCCGTTCTCTCTATAGATATTGGTCCTGTAGTTCACGTACTTTGGGGGACGAAATGTTTGCCGCTAGATGTCTCGTGCTAAATTCTTATCTGATAGATAGATAATTTATCCGTACACTTGACGACCAATATATGAGACGTCAAGTTGTCGACCAATGTAGTTTATAGAAGGAACGGCCTCCGGTATATTCATTATTCACCCCCGACGCTCTTTCTTCGTCAAGGTTCTCAGACATGCACCCTAAACTCAGCCCCCCTCCCCCCCCCCCCCTATCATCTATTTAGGTCTCATTTTTACCTTCCCACTTTGCCTGCATAATATGACAAAGAGTTCATATCGATATATTCTGAACTTAAGTTGGTCGATTAATTTATTTATTTGATAATTTTGCTGATTCTAAAATTGATTTTATATTTTTTGTTGATTTATTAATTGATTTAATGTTTGATTGATTTATTTATTAATTGATTGACGTGTAGGTTCCCCAACCAGAACCAGACCAGGAACTGCTGGCAGAACTATGTTGACTTCCACAGATGTCAGAAAATAAAGGTTTGTGAAAACTTCAAATTTTTAGTTATTTCGCACATTTTCTGTACGGCTGGGCTGGGCGGATTTGACTGATAATATGATAAAAAAAAGTTCCTCAAGATGAAGGAGAATTCGTTTGTCGTTTTTTTTCTTTACAATTATTATCCTTATTATTAGTGGCCTTTATACAGGGACCTCCTTACATCGACTATTTTAGAGAAACAATTATTACGTTCTTTTGCCAATAGAAAGTTTTTTTAGAGGAGAGTTGGGAGGATAAAATGAAAAATATCCTTAGCTCGAAACTTCAGAATGGGAAGTCCTTAATCCCTATCGCTTAATCTGAGTATCCAATGTACTCACTTTTGATTTTCTTCTTAATTCTTCTACCCCTACTGTGTAAAAGTTACGTCGATAACAATTACAGATACGATGCTATATCGATTGAACTAATATCCGATTGGACTGAAGTCAGCTGTTCACAAGCCGGCTTTTAGAGCATTTAAACAAATATTAATTTAATTATGTTAATATGAATTTATTAAAAAACATTCTTTATCACATTTGAGGAATATCGTCATTTTGAACGTTAGTCTTGAACATTAATCCAAAACTTACGTTCCTTTAATAGATCATTAGTTCAATTGATATAACACCACAAATGTGGAAAAATTAAAAACCGGTGTTTCAAAAGTTCAAGAGCGCATCTTTAATCTCTAGAGATTAATCTGAAGTCTAAATTAGTCTTGAGATCAGCAAAAAATGGAGGATCAAGCATTGATCTCGATATCCACCAATCTAAAGTTTTCAGCTCTGTACAGTGTACACTTATTTTGTTTCAAATAATTGATTGATCATAGAATTTCATTTCACTCTTTTAACCTGTATTGTTGGTCACTCCCATTAAACACTTCTTTAGCTGTAAGCCAGCGGTCAAAACCGAAAGAAAACGGAATTCCAGAGTCCCGGGTTGAACGGGTTTCAAACATTAGCCTATGTTACCCCCGGGATTTTAGGGTTTTATTAAAAAATGTCGCCCATTCGGTCCAGCCGTTTGGCCAGCTATAGCTGACATATATACAAATATATCTGAGCGAAGAGCTTGATTAAATAGATTGTTTTTAATAATGATAATAATACTGTAAAGGGGGAGGAGTATGAACCGTGTCAGTTCTTCTACAGAAACTTCCATACTGTGTGTCCTAATGATAATAATACTGTATAGGGGGAGGAGTATGAACCGTGTCAGTTCTTCTACAGAAACTTCCATACTGTGTGTCCTAATGATAATAATACTGTATAGGGGGAGCAGTATGAACCGTGTCAGTTCTTCTACAGAAACTTACATACTGTGTGTCCTAATGATAATAATACTGTATAGGGAGAGGAGTATGAACCGTGTCAGTTCTTCTACAGAAACTTACATACTGTGTGTCCTAATGATAATAATACTGTATAGGGGGAGGAGTATGAACCGTGTCAGTTCTTCTACAGAAACTTCCATACTATGTGTCCTAATGCTTGGATAGAAAAGTGGGACGATCTTAGAGAGAAGGGAGCTTTCCCCGCCAAGCTGTAACTCCTCTAGGTCAGACTTTTTTACTTTTTTTTGCATCAGATTTTTTTCATTTTATTATTTATATGTTTGTCCTTTCATTTAGCCAATATCAGGGAAAAATGATGCATTCTTGTTTAAAATAGTTTTAATATTACATGTCATCTGTAATTGAATGTTTTTTTGGGGGGAAAATGTATAAAGGTATTTAGAGGATGTCTACGAAACATAACCGTAGCAAGACGACTTGAAAGTCGTCTTTGAACTTTTAATTTATTTGTGATTTTCAGTCGTGTGTATGATTCTTGAAACAATAACCACCTGGCATTTCCAAAATGCGGTGTGCCTTTATTGTGTTATTAACATTACCGGAGAATTTCATTCAAATTTCAATTTTATAAAATAAAACCAAAATTCTTGAAATCTGAACGGATTTCTTTATATTCCGGTGTCAAGCTAAATAAGGCTCGGGCGTTATATTTGGTCCGGGTGAATGTTACATGTGAAATCCATGTACAAAATTGATAGGAGGGGGAAGAAATCGTATATTAGGAAATTAATGCTGGTTATGTACAAAGTTGATNGTCCAAAAATTGTTTACTTTGACGGACCCAAAGCATGCACATTATCATTGTTATTGAAATTGTAACAATTTTTTGTTTCCCCCCGTTCTATCAATTTTGTACATAACCAGCGGTAATTTCCTAATATACGATTTTTGACCCCTCATATCAATTTTGTACATGGATTTCGCACGTAACACTCACCCGGACCAAATATAACGCCCGAGCCTTATTTAACTTGACACCGGAATATAAAGAAATCCGTTCAGATTTCAAGGAAAATGACAATGGAAATGACAAGAAAAGGGGGATTTTTATGATTTTGAACTTTGAATTTTACTTCAAAATCGTCGTTTAATTCCTCTTGCAACCTGTCATGTTTCGTGGGGCACACTGTTTTAAAACGTTGATACGGGGGAAACCCCCCCCCCCTTCCCCCACCACACGCAACCATGTAAGTGCAGTGTCAAATCAAATCTATCTAGATTTTAACCATAATAAAGTGCGCAATATCCTACAAAATTTGAACTACGCATCAAGCAGTTGTGAAGTTGTTCATTGTTTCCAATTATACGCATTAAGCAGTGCAGTTACCAGTTTACCTGGCAGTTTAATCAGTCTTATTTTTCTCGCGTTCATTTCATTGCCTCATGTTAATAGGAAATAATTTATTTATTTCAGTTTTTATTTTTCAAAATTTTCAATTGTAAATCAATATTTTTAATGAAATTTTATTATGCTAATTCTGATTATTTTTAGGATCCATGGACTGGTTTCAGAGTTAGTATGAATGTAGACATCTTAAAATTAAAGATAAAGCCAAGAAAACCTGAACAGGGGGATGTTATGATGTTTAACTAGGATATTATGATGTTTAACTGTTTCAGAAGAATGGTTATATTTCTTCCCAGGACCGGAGACGGGAAAGATTAGTGTAAAAATGGCGAAAAGACGGAGAAATTACAGTTTACCACATTTACTGAACGAGAGGGAGACGCGGGTAAGTTTTTTCTTTTTGATTAATTAATTGAAAATTTAAATCTGTTAAATTGTAAGCACTGCCGATTCAAGTTTGTGGGTTCACTTGTTCTACTTTAAATCAAAATACATTTTTAGCTCTTGATAACTAATCTGGCGGGAGATTATTATAACAAGTACAGCTATAAATAAATGATGTGTTAAAGTTTGAAAACGTGTGATGATATTCCTCATTCTCTTGATGTTAAAAAATATATTTTGCCTAAGGAAAAAAGATTATTTTTCTTGATTAAAGGGACTGTAAGCGTAATTTCAATTTACCCTCCATACAAAGATGGCAATGCCCGATTCACAACAGAACCCTTGAAAGCTTTGTTTGATCAAGTATGAATTAAATAAGAATTAAATTAAATTTTTGAAAAATTGATTAATTTTAATTGTGGTGTATTTACTAAAGTGACTAGCACATTTTTACTGCAGGAAAACATACAGGGATGATTAAAATCGAATAATTTTATATTTGGAAAACAACGAAATCTTCTACATTTTGATCTGGTAAAGGTTTGGTTTCAAGGATACCGTTGTGAATCGCGTATTACCATCTTTGCATGGAGGGTCACTTAGAATTATGCTAACAGTCCCTTTAAGTCTTTATCAGACAAAGCTTTGGTGGACCGTTTTGAATCGGACATTCCACTCCATTTATGAATGGTTACTAGAAATTACTATTTCAGTCCCTAAAGATATAATGTGTATCAAGAAATAGATTTGGTTTGTATTTAGGGTGATTTGGTTGCCAGACAACTAGAGAGAGAAAAGCATGTTACGATAGAACTGGTTGAACGACTGGGACTCTTTAAAGAGTTAGTAGGTAAATTTTCAAACTGTCCCCTGGATGATGCAAGGGGTAATTTTTTTTTTTAAATTTTGTTTCCTCTTTAAATTTCTTCCACGTTATATTAGGAATGTTTGATGAAAATAAATAATATTCAGGGCAAATCAAAACGCGGGGACAAATTTCCTCCCCCCCTCACGTTTGAAAAGCAATATTCAATACACACCCCTGGAAGATAAGGGAGTGTGCTCTCCTCCCCCTATCTAATTCTATCTTCATTTCTCACTCATCTTCATAAAAAAAACTATGAAAAATTTTCTCTTCAAGGGTGGGGGGGGGGGGTTCTCTTTGACTATAAAATGGCTGTTTATTGGCCTTTTCTCAACTAAATATTTGAATACTAGGTCATGAAGGTTGTGTGAACTGTTTGGATTGGAATAAACCTGGAACTATCCTCGCTTCAGGTTCAGATGATCAGGTTATTTTTTAGATATTTTAGTTATTCATGGTAAGAGAGGGGTATTTATTCAACCCTCCCTTATTAGCAGGGAAGTGCATTATTTTTAGCGGGAACAAACGTAAATTTGGGTAAGAAGTAGTGGAATGGCCCTATATGTAAAGCAATACTAATGTAAAATACTCGGCGTCCCTTTGAAAAAGGCTTTTCGACTTAAAAGCCTTTCTGTAGGTTCACCACATAATGAATCTTAATAAGTAATTATTCTTTTTAATACAAAATTTGAAAATAGTATAACCAACAAAGACGAGCTTTAAGTCGTCTGTGAATTGTCACTTTTATTTGGACATCCTGTTCTTTTAAGTATAGAGTTATCCTTTTAAGGAAACTTAAGGCAATCTGCGAATATTTCCAAATCTGCTGTTTCTCTTTAATGTTCATTGTACACAAAATCAACAACGACTTTCCTTGTTTAGTTAATATATATTTAGGCAATCTGCGTAAATATTTCCAAATCTGCTGTTTCTCTTTAATGTTTATTGTACACAAAATCAACAACGACTACCTTTGTTTAGTTAATATATATATATTTGTATAGAGTGTGATACTTTGGAACGGATTTACTGGTAAACTGAAGACACAGTTAAACACTGAACACCAGGGGAATATATTCTCTGTCAAGTTCCTACCGGAAACTGGGGACTCTCTCATTGTCACAGGTTTGGATTTTGTTTGGGTTAAAGTTTCTGGAAAAATCGCCCCCCCCCCTGAAAATTGGTTTTCCCCTAGTTGTAGGGTATGTTATTTGGCTTATTTGAGGAATTGGGTAAAACAAATGAATTTTTGGATTTAAAAAAAGCGTGAAAACTAGGGGGGGAGGGGGGTTTACTTTAAATTATATTTCTCTTAATATTTGACTAATTGCTTCATACCTTCCTTGGTATTTGACTAGTTGATTTATACCTTCCTTCAATTGATACAAATAACAAAAGTAACCCCAAGGAAAATCGAAAATTTAATCAAACTTTCTGACTAATCCGGATTTTTTTTAACAAAACATATCCTTAATCTAATTCCAGATCCGTATCAACATACAATGGATCCCAATCCTTGATAGAAAATTATTAAGGTGGTCAGGATGCCCGAGTATGTTAGCCAGACGTGGAGAAGAAAGTGTGTAAACGCATTTCCTGAAAAATGATTAATAATTATCTAGGTGGTCAGGATGCCCGAGTATGTTTGTTGAACGTGGAGAAGAAAGTATGCACTTCTCCTAATAAATGATTATCTAGGTGGTCAGGATGCCCGAGTATGTTTGCTGGACGTGGAGAAGAAAGTGTGTGAACACTTCTCCTAATAAATGATTATCTAGGTGGTCAGGATGCCCGAGTATAATTGTTGGACGTAGAGAAGAAAGTGTGTTAACACTTCTCTAATAAAAGATTATCTAGGTGGTCAGGATGCCCGAGTATGTTTGTTGGACGTGGAGAAGAAAGTATGTATAAGAAGTGCTGCTCTACACATTGGACGGGTAGGTTAAATATTAACAGATTATCATGCAATAAATCCAAGCTTCGTGCACATTTTTCAAGTGACAATTTTAACTTTCAAATTATGCTTTGAATGTCGCCCTGTTTCAAAAATACAAACAAACAGCAAAGCAAAATATATACCTAACCCGTATATTTTATAATTTAATAAAAAAAACTGTTACTTCTAGTGATTCTACATTTGAAATAGTGAATGTTCGAATCACAGCAGTACCCTTGAAAGCTTTGTATGATCAAGAATGAATGAGATATTTTATCATTAATTCAGTGCTTAGGATCCGGATCCGTTGGATTCGCAAGGTTGGTTTCCTTTCCTGGATTAACCAAAAACTTTTTAAATCCTAAACTCAAATCTGAACTTTTGAAAAAGAGAGATTATAAAAATTTCCTCATTTCTGAAAGGTTAATCAAGTTTCAGGATAAAAATAAGCGAAAAAAATAAAACAAAAAATTTGAAAATTATTTTTTGTTAAAAAAATTAAGTAAATCTTAAAGAAATGACCTGGATCTGGAGCCGGATCCATTTTTTTCCAGTGCGGATCCAGGATCCGGATCCGCATCAAAATCAAATAGATCCTAAGCACTACATTAATTATACATTTGACGTGAATATGTCGAAATAATTGGAAAGAACTTAATATCCGGGCTAAATGCGAATTTTAACGCCACACCAACTGAATTCTAAAATCTTCTCAAATCATTTTTAAAATTGCAGGTGAAGAGGTTAGCTGTATCCCCAGATACTAGCGGTATATTCTGGTCTAGTGCTGAGGATGGTACAGTTATGCAATGGGATACAAGGTACAGTTAAGGGTGTAAATATTTTGTTGAAAAAATAATCCCTCCATTCCCTTATGTTTGGAGAACCCAGACTGCCATATATAGATTAAATAAATGGGAATTTGAACCCAGAGTTACGAATAACTAAGGTTTCTGGTATCCATGCACCCGGGTATGCTTGCATGAAGGGATTAAGGGATTAGTTTTAGAACAAACCCTAGGCAGAGTAAACAGATGACCTCAGGCGGCATTAATATGAGTATCGTAAGGGGAAGTGCTGAGGGTGGAATTGCCTGGGGCCATAAATAGACCGCCTTTTCTTTAATAATAATAATAATAATAATATTATTAAGGGAGAAGTGGAGAGAAGGCGGAAATAATGTTTTGATAAATCTAGTAAAACATGTGGGTAAAGCAGAGATCAAGTCAATAGCAGGTTAATAGATAGATAATTGGAAATATACGCATTAGGGGAAAATGATTTAGCAATAAATTAGCAATATGTGTCGTTCTTTTCGGTGAAAGTCAATTCGTTGGTAAAAATCAATTATATAAACAATTTTTTTTTGTTACTTTTTGGTTTACGTGAGTCGTCTTCGTAAGATAACTTGCACTAAATGGCACACAGATCTCCGAAAAAGAGTAAAGTTAGGTCGAAACGACCTCTAATCAAACAGTGTCGACGAATAAATTGTTCATAGATTTGAATTTTACACAGGAACAGTCTTATCGCTGTATTCTGTGATGCAATTTTAAAATTCACCGCCCCCTAATACTCATTATTGAAAAAAGATGTTCATCCTATAATTTTCTTAAAAGGGATTGGAGACTTAATTTCAAAAGACCATTCTTTCATTGCTTCGTCATGGCAAAAATGTTATATTTTTTTCAAATTATCAATTGCGGTTCTCAAAATGTTTTAGAAAATCGACAATTTTCCAGAAAATCACGATATATTCGATTTTGTATAATAAATATTACTTTAAAGCCTTTGTGAATCTAACATGCTGCAAGACAAATGGAGGGTCAATTGAAATTACCCCACAGTATTCACTCGGAAACAGTCTACGGTCTCTGAAAGTGATTTTTTTATAAAAATTATATGTTTCTCAATAAAAATTAATTAGTGTTAACTGCCTAATTGTACGTTTTCCCAAACGGAATATCATCAGACCAAACTTTCGTTAAATCTTTAAAAATGTCCTTTAAGCATTGAAAATTCCAGAACTTCGTACGACCCAACTTATTAACACTTTAGATCTTGTATTTAAATATAAAGAATACAGGGTTATTTATACTAAGTACTGCGGTCCAATGTTTAAATTTGATCTGTGCGAATAAATCTGCAGGGAATTGCGAATGTAGAAAAATTATTTACTAAAATCCGTACAGTCGTCCCAGAGTCGCGAACTTTAGGGGTAAATCCTCATTTGGGAAAAATCTAAGGCGTGCAATTAACCACTGAGGAAAATGTCCTTGGTAATACAATTTTGTGCAATGCAATGGATTGGCCAGGTCGCATGGAGACGTGTCTTGATGTTTGTTGAATTCTTAAATAACTGTTTCTAGTGAACCCGACTAAACCAGAGTTGATTGCAATTGGAGCTAATGATCCCTACGTCCGAGTTTATGACAGGTACATTTTTTCTTTTGGTTATTTAATTATTAAATTAATAATGATATTATTCAAGTTTTACTTTCCCATTTTCCAGGAGAAGGTTAAGTCTACAGAAGCTTACCGAGGAGTCGGGAGAAACGGTTAGAAACTGGGAAAGGTAAAATATTATCAAATTTAGTACAAAGATGATTTCGAGGATTTTTCGTGTTTTTAAATTGTACATTTTAAAAGTATTGATTAGAGGGAAAATACTTGTCAGTTACTCTTCAAAACTTTTGTTACCAACACAAATGTTCTAACATCTGCTCTTCCCTAGGGCATACATACAGTGGGAGCCACAAAACTGTGGAATGGAAAACAAATGAAAAAAGAAAAAATAATAAAAGTTTTGAAATCGCAAGGAAATTAACATAAAAAATTTAGAAAGGTTGTCTTAGGAAAAAAAACTATTTAAGAGTTTTATGGGATTGACTGTATTCAGGAGAACCCAGCTAGCTGTGAGTGGGGGTGCAGGGGACAATACTCCTCATGATGCCGTGCAATATTTTACTCCTAAACATTTACCAGATCAGCAAGCAAAGTATAAATCTACACTCAGGTCAATAACAAAACTATATCTAGGCGTTTCTAAAGCTTTACACATTTAATTGATTAAATTTGATTTACTTAAAAATATCAGAGGTGTGCATTTTCTTGAAAAAATATCCCCCCTCTTTTTTTTTGAAAAAAGTTTTCCCCGAATTTCGGTATTTTTTAGGGATTTCTTCATTGACTTGGGGAAATGTATTATTTTTATGGGGAAATAACGATTTTGGGGGGAAAAGGGGTGGTGGTTTATTTTTAAAATTATAGGACCCAGAAAAAAATAATTCATTGGTTTCACCCATTATTTGGTGTAGAAGAAGAAAATATTCCTGTCAATATTCTAATAAAAAGTTTGCTGTTTGAACGTTTGGAGACGTATTTGAAAGTGCCCCTTTCAATAGCCAACATGGTTTTCTTAAGAATAAATCTTGCTTAACCAACTTGTTGGAATTTATGGAATTTCTCACATCCAAATATGATGATGGCAATGCTCTGGACATAATCTATCTTGATTTCTCTAAAGCCTTTGATAAAGTACCTAAAAATAAATTGTTGAAGAAAGCCGAAACATTGGGTATTTCTGGAAATGTACTGAATTGGTTGAAAAATTGGCTTTCAGATAGGCGCCAGAGAGTGGTTATAAACGGATGGGCCTCACTGTGGGCTCTAGTTCTGTCAGGTGTACCCCAGGGTAGCATACTAGGACCAATTCTGTTCCTCATATTTATTAATGATATAGATGATGTGGTCAAACCGCTGATTGACATAATATGCAAATTTGCTGATGACACAAAAGTAGCCCAGATAGTTAACACTGATCAGGACAGACAAATACTCCAAACCTGCCTTGATAATCTGGTCAAATGGTCTCAGAACTGGGGTATGGAATTTAATATTCCCAAATGTAAGGTTCTACATGTTGGCAGAAATAATAATATTTACACCTATTACATGAATGGTTCAATGGTGACAAATGTTAGCCAGGAAAAAGACATTGGTGTTATAACCCACGAATCACTCAAGCCGTCAACCCAGTGTTTATCTGCTGCAAAAAAGGCTAATTTTGTTCTTGGACAAATATCAAGGGCATTCCACTTCAGAGATAAAATCACATTTCTCAACTTGTACAAGTCTTATGTCCGACCGCACTTAGAATTTGCTGTATCAGCTTGGTGTCCCTGGACACTTGAGGACATCCGAGTCCTAGAAAATGTACAAAAGCGAGCCATAAATATGATCTCAAACCTGCAAAGTGTTTCATATGAGGACAAAATAAAGGAAGTTGGTATCCAAACCTTGGAAGCTAGGAGGTTAAGGTTTGACATGATACATACATACAAAACTCTGAACCATAAGATAGCTGTTAATCCAGATATATGGTTTACCAGGGTCCAAGACATCAGCCTAAGAACCACTCGTCAATCTGACAACTATATGAATCTACAAATAAAACAGTGCAAAGGAGAAATTCGAAGGAAATTTTTCAGCAATCGAGTTGTTCAACCATGGAACAATTTACCTGCAACTATTCAGAATGCCAAGAATGTAGACAGTTTCAAAAGAATGTACGATGAACATGTGAAAATGTGAATGATATAAACAATGATGGCCAGAACTATAGTGAACTAAAATCATTTACAGTTAAATCAAGAAATTCTCATTATACTCCAATAGGAGTCCTGAGAATCAATACCACATAAACATAAACATAAACATAAAGAGAGGATCGAATTCACAATTGTGCAGTTTGACTGATCAAGGATAGTTGCTATATCCTCATTTGTCCAACTAAACCAGATATTTTCAACTGTGGGTTTTCTGTAAAAACGATTGATTACTGCATGAAAAACACACCGTCTAGGGAATTGATAGAATCGAATACTTTTTAAGACTGGAAAACGGTGATAACTTCCTCATTGTTCCTTTGATACGTATTAAAGGGTTCCCTTGTGAATTTCACATGGAGTTCCTCAAATGGAGGCCGTAGGGCCATTTCCTATCAATACTAAATCTAGACTTTAATTTACTGGACGTTAGTTATTAACTGACTTTGACATCTCTAGAGTTAAGTGAATCGCATAAGTCACTCCATAAATGGAGAGTCACTTAAACTAACGTTTTTTAGTCCCTTTAATATGTTATATATATACCCTAGCTATGTTTAGAACCCTATCTTCAACCTACCTGAGTTATAGTACTGCTGGTACAGAACTACTCGTCAATACTGGAGGAGAACATGTCTATTTATATCAGAAATTTAGGAAACAAAATCTTAAACTTTCTAGAGGTCTTAACTCTACTTTTAAATAGCATTAACGTCAACGTTTAACTTACAAGAAATCAAAGCTTTAGTTTGAAATAGAACTAATTGTCAACGTTCATGATACCAGAGGTCAAAACTTTAGTTTGAAATAATGATAATAGTCAACGCTAAGCTTACCAAAGGTCAAAACTTTAGTTTGAAATAATTATAATCGTCAACGTTTAACCTTCTAGAGGTCTAAACTTTAGTTTAAAATAGCGCTAATAGTCGACGCTCAACCTTCTAGAGGTCAACACTTTATTTTGAAATAGCCTTAGTGGTCAACGCTAAACTTACCAGAGGTCAAAACTTTAGTTTGAAATAGCCATGATAGTCAACGCTAAACTTACCAGAGGTCAAAACTTTAGTTTGAAATAACCTAAGGTCTAAACTTTAGTTCGAAATAGCGCTAATAACCAACCTATATCTACCAGAGATCAAAACTTTAATTTGAAATCGAGCTAATAGTCAACGCTAAACTTACCAGAGGTCAAAACTTTAGTTAGAAATAGCGCTAATAATCAACTAAATCTACCAGAGGTCAAAACTTTAGTTTGAAATTGAGCTAATAGTCATGTTGAAGTTACCATAGGTTAATACTTGTGTGTTAAATATCTAACCAACGCTTTATCTTGTCTTCATATCCACTATGATAGCTTTTAAATTGAAAGAATTAAGACGTTATCCCTCAATTTGCTGGGTTCTAATTTATCATCAGAATTTTTTTTGGAAAAGATGAAAATTGATTAATTTAAAGCAGAAGTTATGTTTAGTGACGTGACATTTTATATTGAGATTTGCTGGTAAATTGTATGTGTTTTAGTATTGAAAACTTAAAAAAATAGTATATTGAGTCGGAAACCCATTGCATGGTTTTTTCTCCTCTAGGACGTTGTAACTGAATTGTTGTAAAGAAAATCGTGGGTTTTTAAAACTTGTCGAATTGAACCTTGAAGTATAAGATTGCTTGTTAAAGATTGTTTGAAAAGAATCCTCCACCAAGTTTATTAAAACAAATATCTGTGATACAAGGCTGTGCAGAAACTTCATCACAACCCTCCGCAGAATCTGTTCTACCGAAGGATGTGGAAACATTGAAACTTTCCGCTAATTCGGAGTTTGAATCTGGAAACCATTACAGAGCCATTGAGCTGTACAATTTGGCCATCTCAAGGTTTGATGAAAAAGACGAAAATAACATAAATGACGTTAATGACTAAAATGACATAAATTTCGAAAATGACGACAAGCACGACAATGAGTCAAGGACAACAAGCACGACAAGGAGTCTAGGACAACAATAACAACAAGAACAACAAGGAGTCAAGGACAACAAGCACGACAAGGAGTCAAGGGCAACAAGCACGACAATGAGTCAAGGGCAACAAGCACGACAAGGAGTCAAGGACAACAAGCACGACAAGGAGTCAAGGACAAGCACGACATGGAGTCAAGGACAACAAGCACGACAAGGACAACATTGAGTCAAGGACAACAAGCACGACAAGGAGTCAAGGACAACAAGCACGACAAGGAGTCAAGGACAACAAGCACGACAAGGAGACAAGCACGACATGGAGTCAAGGACAACAAGCACGACAAGGACAACATTGAGTCAAGGACAACAAGCACGACAAGGAGTCAAGGACAACAAGCACGACAAGGAGTCAAGGACAACAAGCACGACAAGGATTACAAGGATGACAACAAGGTCAATAATGACGATAACGATGATGTATTTAGGTGTGCTAATCATGTGCTGTATGCAAACAGAGCAGCGGCGTTGTTGAAACGCGCATTTCGAGGAGATGTTTATGCTGCGCTTCGTGACTGTTTGAGCGCGCTCAATCTCAACCCTAGATATGTCAAAGCACATCTTAGACTAGGTAAATCTCCACATTTCTGATTTGATCTGATAAAGAATTTTGTAAATAAAATATGTTTTCTTGTTTTTGGTGTGAAACACAAAGGATAAGATATCATTGACGATTGAGCGATTTTTAATCATTTTTTTCTTATTCATAGTTACCAGAATAATACACTTATTCCTTTAAATTAAGTGCAGAATTTCAAATTAAACCTTCAGATCGTTTTATTTAATATACTCGAGGTCATTTTGTTGGATACTCTCAGGTCTAATCAAATAAATCAAAAGAGAAATTTTGATGTTTTGATCTGAATGTTAATGTGTCCAGAGCAGAGCAGAGAAGTTATTTCAAAAGATGTTTGGCTTTTGGGGATAAAAATTAGAATACAAAAATCCCTTAAAATAGGGTTCAAGATTAAAAACTTTTTCTAATATTTTACGTCTTGTTTATTATTATTGTATGTATATATTCTACACGCCGTTACCCAATATCAAAAGCATATTTAGTCACTTAGTGTAAAATCCGCAAGTATTGCTTGTGTTACGTTTTTGCGATCTTTTCAATAATAAATATCATAATCCGTTGGTTCACATATCATGTGGATTAATGCTTTCTAATTGGATTAACCAAAATTCTGAACTATATTAGGTAGATGTTTAACAGACCTAGGATGGTTGGAGGAGGCAGATCTATGTCTTTCAAATTTCAAAACTAATTTCCCAGAACACAGGAAATCAAAGGTAAACAAGCTGGAGTTCAACTATGGAACTAAACTAAGAAACTGAAAATAGAAACTGAACCTAAAAACTGAACCTAGAAACTGAAACGAGAAACTGAACCTGGAGACTGAAACTAGAAACTGAACCTAGAAACTGAACCTAGAAACTGAACCTAGAAACTGAACCTAGAAACTGAACCTAGAAACTGAACCTAGAAACTGAAACTAGAAACTGAACCTAGAAACTTAAACTAGAAACTGAAACTAGAGACTGAAACTAGAAACTGAAACTAGAAACTGAAACTAGAAATGAAACTAGAAACTGAAACTAGAAACTGAAACTAGAAACTGAAACTAGAAACTGAAACTAGAAACTGAAACTAGAAACTGAAACTAGAAATTGAAACTAGAAACTGAACCTAGAGACTGAACCTAGAGACTGAACCTAGAAACTGAACTAAGAAACTGAAACTAGAAACTGAACCTAGAGACTGAAACTAGAAACTGAAACTAGTAATTGAAACTAGAAACTGAACCTAGAGACTGAACCTAGAAACTGAACCTAGAAACTGAACCTAGAAACTGAACTAAGAAACTGATTAAGAAACTAAAGTACAAACTAAAACTATGAAACTCAAACTAAGAAACACAAAATCTTAAGGTCATTTTTAATTGATATTTTCATAGTTGAAATCAATATTGGAGTTTTTCTCATTCATTTTAAACGCAGTTTGTCATTGCATCATCGCTGATAGAGAATGGCTGTTTCAAGCGACTCTTAGTGCGAAGATGACAAAGCCCGATTTACAACGACCAAGATCATTTTGCTTAATTCACTTCTACAAGAGCACAAACAATATAACTATCCAACTCTAACTTACTAATACAAATAACTGAATTTTTGCTCTTTTAACTATCGACTAACTAATACACAAAATACGCACCCTACACCGGCCCTAATGATTATCATGACAACAATATGAATTTCTTCTAAAGTCCGCCTTGAGTCCTGAAAATAATAACATAAACAATGGTACTCTTGAAACCTTTATCTAATCAATAATGTTGAACTTGAAGTCGTTCTTAACTGCGAGACAAAGCTTTTGTTGTGAATCGAGCATGACATCTTTGCATTAAAATCAATTTAATTCCCAACAAATCATTCAGATATTACAACCTTTTATCATCGATTATTTTTTAACGCATTCGTAAATTGTTAATATTTCATTTTATTTTTTATATACTATGCATTTAAAAAGACGATTTTTTCCCGCTAGGTGTTTGCCAGGTCGAATCAATAAGAGCATCAAGAGCAGAGACACCTGGCGGCCAGCGTTTCGGCGTTTTAAGTGCATTGTATATAAAACAAATAAAAATATTATGAAATATTAACTATATACGAATGCGTCGAAAAATTATCGATGGTTATAAGTAGTAATATCTGAATGACTTATTTGGAATTAAATTGATATTTTTTATGATCAGAGTCGAATGTTGCAACTTTCTGAATTTGTAGCACGCTACGTTCTTCGGTATAAGTCGTTTTTAACAATTTTCTTCTAATAGACTCAATAGATATAACTAAGATTAGTAGTGATCACCATCGATAATTTTTCGCCGAAAGCCAATATCCCCTTTCATTTTTCGCGAACACTCCCTTTAAGCTTACGTCATGGTTGCTCTGTTTAGTCATTTGTGCAATTGTTGAATGATTTCCAAAGTGCACAAGATGAGAAAGTTCCAAAGGATAAGGTAAGAAAGGATTTCCAATAATCTTTGTAATGAAGTAAAAAACAAACAAGAAATCATCCTTCTGAAACACGCTTCTCCATTCTCAATGTTTTCTTTATTATTATTATTATAAATGAAGTACAATTAGTAAGACTGAACTTGGAAGTGTTTGAAAATTGGCTTTATGAAATATCTTTACAAAGAACGATCATGCAAGTTAAAGTAAAGTATTTGGTAAATCATAAAAATCTAGGGAGAGTAATGGGTAAATTCTGTAACAAATGCAGCCCAAGTTTGAAAATTTGTATCTATTATTTCATTCAAAATTATTTTTTATTTTGTTCTCTCAAATTTAATTTAAGATAATTTTGTTTAAAATTAGAACAGGGGTCATTCCATGTCAAGTCAACCACCTATGGAGGGGATGTCACAGATTTTGCTGAAATTTTGCTATAGGGAGCCATCTTCAAAAACAGAAAAGTTAGAGACATTTAAATATAGAGGCCGTCCTTAAGATCTCAAAATATCGGAAACTTTCCGGAGCCATGACTCCGGCCTCGGAGGTCTTGAATGCTTATTTTCGGATTCTGGGTTTTTTATAAAAAAATTTCAGCAAAATCCGTAACACACCTTGATATGGAATGACCCAAAGGTTAGCCCAGTACCTGACCAGGAGGAGGAGAGAGAAGCATCAGTTCCTTACACTAGGGAGGATATTTAATCAACTATTAATTATATCAATTATATATGCGTGGGAAATTGGGGAAAATAATGGTTTATGCAAAAGCAAGTTGAGGCAGTGAAATATTGATTAAATTATGCATGACCTCATTCCTGCCAAATGATACATACTTTCTATAATAGAAGAAAGAACATTTAAAACTGCACTTATTTTGCTTTCAAGTTTTCGACCTCTTTTTATTACATTGAAATTTAAAATGTCACTTGACGTAAATACATCTGTTCTAAATACATACGAATCTTCAATGCCACCAATTGTACCTGATAATCCATTTAAAGAGACTAAGTGTAATTTCAGTGTCCCTCCATGCAAAGCAGGCATTAATATCCTTTAAAACGCTGTCTGATCTAGAATAAATAAGATATTGATGTTTTCTTATATTTTAACTGAAGAAGTAACTTATTAATATCCTTTAAAACGTTGTCTTATCTAGAATAAATAAGATATTGATGTTTTCTTATATTTTAACTGAAGAAGTAACTTGCGCATTTTTTGCTTATAAGAAACGATGGAGAAATTCTCAAAAAAATTGACGTTACCTTCCACATTTTTCATCAGATAAAGGTTCTAATGATACCGTTGTTGATCGGACATTCTTTATATGGTGGGTCACTTGAAATTACGCTAACAGTCCCTTGATAAGTATAAACGGTTCAACTTTATCTCGGTATTGATTAAATCTGGTTCCAGGGAGGACTTCCTGAGATCTGTAGACGGGGAGAGGGACAGAGAGGAGGAGGAGATGGAGGTGGACGAGGAGAGGTTTATACCGCCTCGGCTCAAGATATCTAGTCAGGAACAGGATACAAACATTCAACATTTTCTCAGTGTGCTTTTGTCGATATGGAACTTGTTTGGTGAAGAAATATTAAAAATAGACAATTTTAAGAGAAATAATCGTTCTTGCTCAGACAAGCTAGCAATCGGATGTTCCTTTCTATTGATAAAGATTCACGTCTTTGAAGCATTTCTTTATTTTAAAGCAAGAACTAAGACATCAATTCTACAGTTTTTTGTTTTAATTTCCCTTAAGTTTTCTCCATTGTCGGCTGAACAACCCCCAGGACTGGCCGACAGAGCCCAAAACTTGAGACAGGTTATCTTTATGAAAACCAGTTTTGGAACCCGGGTTTCACGAATAGGGTTGGCAGTTTTGTGGATATCATTATTTTTGGGGGGTATTCTCATCGTGGGCGTACATTCTCCACTAATTATCTCAATGTTTGACGTGTAGGAGATTAAATGGAGACGATTAGCCAGAGATTATTCATCAAGATTTGTTGGAGCGGCAAATATACAAACAGATATTAAGGTTAGATTATTTTTTCATTTTCTTCGTTTTTATTATTATTCAGTATACATTTCATTGAATGAATATTTCTAAACGCCCCTTTTGATTTTTAAACTAGACTTTTTCCCTTTTTTTTCTTCCCAGTTTTTCTTTCTCTCTTGACTCGACTCTCCTTTCTTTCTCTATGAGTTTATATGCATGTTTTTCCTTCACATTTTTCTTTTTCAATTTTTTTTTCTTTTCAAGCTAGAGAACCCAGCTTTGTATGAAAACTAACTTTTTGCCTTAAAAGTCAATCCAATAACCTTTAAACCAAGCTTAGAATATTCGTTATTCTATTGGGTTCCCCAATCAAAATTTGAGACAAATCGGCCTAGTGGTTAACTACTTATGATCGGACATTAAACAAGTAGAGATTACTACTGCTGTTTACAAGAAATTTGTTATTTTAACTCTTCTTTGTTTAGGAAGCATCGTTTTTCGGTTCTGATTGTCAGTTTGTGGTGGCAGGTTCAGACGATGGACGTATTCTCATCTGGGATACACGGACTTCTAANCCCCAACACTGTCAGATGTTGATTTTTATTTATTTACTTGCTGGAGTGGCCGGTGTTGCCCGTGGAATAATAATAAGAAAACGAATTTTGAGAAGAAAAAAAATTTGCCCATGTTACCCCCATAAAAAAAAAATTCAGCCCTTTTGGTCCAGCGGTAGGCCAGCTAGAGCTGACATATTGCGTCCTTACAATGCTATCCTCAATATTAGTGCTTCATTATTATAGAGTCTGCATAATTGTATAATTTTACTATTATTTATAACATCATAAAACTGATAATAATTATGAAAACTCGATAATAATAGGTTATTTGCCAATTTATGAAAGATGTTGATAAATAATGTTTTTCTAATTCTTACCTTTTTTTTCTATTTTATTTATGTTTTCCAGGTCCTTGCAGGGGACAATATAACTGTTAATTGTGTTCAAGGTAAATATTCTAATAATATAAAAATTAAACTTTATATTTGAGTAGAGTAGATTTTTGTCCCGTTACTTTTTCATAAAAATCTGTCAATTTTGTTTGTAAAGTAAATACTTACCATGATACATGTCAATTTTCTATATTTTCTGAATTAAATTCTATTTTTTCTAAATTAAATATCTAACATTATAATTTAGCAATGTTTTTCAAAATAATGACTGATAATTTAAACCCTGGAGTAATAAAAAAAATTAAGAAAAATTTATGTTAAGGACACCCTGGTGCCCCAGTACTGGCTTCTAGTGGTATAGAAGCTATTATTAGACTCTGGCATCCGCTACCAGAGAACAGCACCAAAGAATCTAGAAACATTCAGGTTAATAACAAAACCAATCTTCCACAATTTTGGAGCGTACATTTTATTTAAAGCGTTTTTTCGCAAATAATTCATTTTTGTGTTAAAAGTAACGAAAAAGTGAAAAATCTGCCAGTTGCTGCTCCAAGTTTGTAAGGTTTGTCTTCTAGAGCATTGAAAAACATTATAAAATGCATACCATACCCCTGCATTAAATCTGTATTTAATAAAGATAACAAAAATCAATTGTTGATTACCGATGGAATAATTTTGTTATTGTCAGAGTTTGTTTGTTTATTTTGTATGAAATAGTGCTGATCTGCGAACTGTTAAATTGGTGCAATATTAAGTACTTTATCCGTGTTAAACAGCGGACTCATATTAATGAACCAAAGAGGAATTTTTGTATTTTCTGACTGGTCAGTGGTCGATACACAAAAGTTTGACTTGATTCAAAGTTCAGGTGGGGGNTCATCTAACAGACTATAGGAACTCCAACTTTTCATCACGGACTTTATTATTCACCTACTGTTATTAATCTAGGAGATGGAGAAGGTGGTTCGGGAAAATCAGAATAGGATGGCACTAGATCCGTTCGAGTTCTTTATGAGGTTAGTTTTTTCCAGTGCTTATGATCAGGATCCGGATCCGTAGGATCCGCAAGATTTTTGCTTCCTTGATCCGGATCCGCAAAAATATGCGGATCCATGGATCCGGATCCAAGGGGTAAAATATCATCCAAAGACTTCAAAAATAAACTTTTTTACTCCTAAAACCCAAATCTGTACTTATGAAAAAAACGAGAGATTATAAAAATTTCCTAATTTCTGAATGGTCCATCAAGTTTTAGGATAAAAATAAGCAAAAAAAAATAATAAAAAATTTGAAAAAAAATTTTTTGTTAAAAAAATTCAGCAACTCTTAAGAAATGACCTGGATCCGGATCCGCATCAAATTTAAATGGATCCTAAGCACTGGTTTTTACCAGTCCAGTGCAGTGCTTGGAACATATCTCATCCGGTTCTTGGATTCCTTCGGTAGACAGATGGATTCGGATCCGGATCAAGATCTAAATCAAAAATGTTTTTTTTAAGTTTTGCTTATATCTCTTGCAAAAAGCGAAATTGCATAGAAATTTCCCATTTTTACAGTGATCTGTTTTTGTTTCCACACAAATAAATTAATATTTGAACAACGTAGAACATTTTTTCTGTCCTAAGGGGAAGTGATACTATTTAGACAAATAATCTTAACTCTGGTCAACATGATCCTTCATGATTTCAGGACTGCTGAAATAAGAGGAGAGGATGAAATGCAGTGCAGAACAAGTTGAAATTCTGCTACTCATCTTCCTGACTGAGCATCACAATTTATGCTAATTTTGCATTTTTTACTTCTGTATTTACTTCTCATTTTTCATGTCAAATTATCCAATGCCAAAATTGAAAATTATTATTCACATTACTAAGAAGAACTTACTAAAACGTACACAAGATGTTAAAACCTGTGCTTGTCAATCACAAGTTCGTATTTAGAATTTATTCAGGAAATTATAAAGTCTGTGATCATAATTCCATGCAAATCTATATTTTTTTCACATTTTGCCAGAAAAAGTGTTGTTATTTTATAGATAGGATGAATTCAGCAATCCTAGCTGAGTTGCTGAAGACAGAAACACTTCAGGATTCAGAGAGAACGCTTAAACTTTTAGACCAGGTAGGTTTCTTCTAATTGTCGTTTTATCCAGTCTATTCTTTTACAAATTATTGTCTTGGTTGTGGTTACAATGCAATGCACAAACATTCTATTATTTTAAGGATTTTTTTGGGAAAATGTCCTCGACTTTTTTGTTTCTTACACACTATACATAGTTTCATCTAATGGTTTTCAATTATGCCACTTTTCTGAGATGACGAGTGTGTTAAAGTCTAAATTTCTGAATAAGCAGAAGTAATTCAACCAAGTCTACGTCTTTTTTAAGTGTGATCGTGATTGCAGAAGTAAAATAATTGAACGAGTCATACCACGTTAAACTATTTCATCAATTCCGCTTTATATATAATATTTGCTATATCTGTTAAGGTAGATGAGCTTGTATCTAGAAATTGTATGGGACTAGAGGAATGTGTTCCTTTAGTCAAACTAACTGCTACTAACAATTGTCAGGTAACACATTTTTTATCAGAGGGGATTTATAATGTGAAGGGACTAAAGGCGTAATGTTAAGTGACCCTCCATGCAAAGAAGGCAATTCACAACTGTGCCTTTAAAGTTTTGTCTCATCCAGTATGAAATAGATATCAAATGTTTATAATTTAAAAACTGATTATTTTTCAATTGCGATTCCTCTACAAGAGTGACTATCGCATTCCCACTACAGGAAGACATATATGAATTAATATATGATTAAACAGTTTCTATATCTTCCACGTTTTTGATCATCATAAAAAGGGTTTCAAGGGTACCGATGTGAAGTGGGTATTGCCAAGGTTATAATGCAAGGAAAGTTAATTGCAGGTGCGTTTACTTTGCGTACATATTGAAACCAGTTCTCTCTGGGCGGAGTGTGTAAACAAGAATAGATGCATCAGTGTTCGTTTAGTATTCGAGGAGGATGAAAGCATTTAATTTTGATAATTTTGATAATTACATAATAGTTTCCTATGACCAGAATATTTCAGTGATTTTTCATGTGAAAGATGGATCCCATGCCAGGCGGTAACATCCGTCTTGTGTTTACATTACCGCCCGGAGACAGTACACTGCAGTACAAAAGATGCGTACACCTCTGTAATAACTTTCCTTGCATAATAACCTTGGGTATTGCCAGCTTTGCATGTAGGGTCACTTAAATGTACGCTTACAGTCGCTTACAGTCTCTATGTGTTTATTGAATCGTGGAAAGAGATGATTGATTAATTGAGTTGATAATTGAACGAGTGAGTGAGTGATTGATTGATTGTTTTGTTGATTAATTGGTTCGTTGATTGATTGCAGTTTGACAATTGACTGATTGATCTCATTGATCAATTGATTGATTGATCTCATTGATCAATTGATTAAGTTGTTAAAAGATTTGTTTGATTAGTTGATTGATGGTCGATTGCAGATGGTGGTTGATTAATTATCAGTTGACAATATTGATTTAGAAAATGTTGGCTGATATAGTCATAAAATTGATTAATTGATTGATTTAATGATGTAATCATAGATAAAGGGAGTTGTGTGGGATTTGATGGTCCGAGTATCAGCCGAGGTTCCGGATATACAACTCATGTTTATCTCTTCATTAAACAAGTTAGTACTTTTTATCTATCTATCTATTTTTCTAACTATCTATCTATCTATTTTTCTAACTAATGTTGATCTCTTTATTAAACAAGATTATGATAGTGCTTTACCTATAATCATCTAACAGACTATAGGAAGTGGTTTTAATTTATTTTGAAATTATTTAAAAGACATAACAAGACGATTCTTTAAAGTAATTATTTCGGTGTTAAAAGAAAAATATATCTCCCGAAGAAAAACCATAATTAATTCGATCTGGAAAAATATGAGAGCCTTTTTCTCCATTCTTCGATTAAACAAACCAAAACAAAAACTTTAAATTTAATTACGTATACTTCAATTGACAAATTTTTTACCTAATTTTTCCAATTTAGAAAAACCCTTAGAAAATGTTGCGCGCAAACATTTCTTACTGAGTGTGGAAAATTTGCTTTTAAAAGGGGGGGGGGGGGGCGTTTATTTAAAAACATATATATTTTCCTGTCTCCTTCTATAAAATTTTATTTTTCCTTCCGTTTTTTATAAATGATTTGGGGCTAAATTAGGAAAACCCATATTTCGTTTTGTTAAGTTCGAAAGTAACGAATATTTCCCGGATTTTTCAATTATTATGTTCAGGGATACAGTTGATCCTAATCCCGGAGTTCGAAGTATAGCAATCTCTACTCTCTGTTCAATACCAGGGTTGGAATTGTACACAGTCAACCCCATTATTGCAGGTTTGGTTTCTTAACTAAATCTTCTTCTTACTAAATCGGACTGTTCCAGAATGCGATATCAACAGTGGAAACTTATGATTTTCCTTAATTTATAAACAAGAGCTGACTAGTTTCTGCATGATCTTCTATTAACCTTAAGAAACATGCCTTAATCTGTCTGGCCCTAAAGAAATGGGTGGAGATAGCATAAAAGTTTATATTTATCCATCCTTAAAGCGTAAAACATATTCTTTTCCTTCATATTAGATTGAAGTGTTTGTCTACACTAACAGTTATGACAGAATGTTTTTATGTTTTTCGGAGAAAAGATTTTCATACTGTTTTTTTATGAGCCATGACAAGGCAGGAGCTGCCGTTCACACCATTGTCGATTAGGATGTTTTGTTTCATCCAATCCTGTCCATTTGAGGACTTAGTCTTGGTTAATATATTCTTATTTGTTTTAAGTTATGATAGGATGTTTGTTAAGGACTAGAGGATTCTGCTCCAACTGTACGGATATCAGCAGTTACTGGTATTGGAAAACTTTACAATCATGCTAAACATACTGTACAGGTGAATCCATTGTACAGTGTACAGCAAATTTATTTGGTTGCATAAATCCTAAAATGATTTAATCTATGTTTTACCTTACTTTTTATTGTTTGAGCTCAATTTCTGAGATTCTGTTGTTTCTTTTTTAACGATAAAAAAGTTTTTGTTCTTGGTCACATTATTATAATTATTACCACCATTATTATTGTTATTATTGTATTAGGAAAACGGATTGATAGATAAACTGTATTCTATGATACGAGATCAGGATCCAACTGTTGTCACTTTCTCACTTCAAACCCTTAACTATATTTTAGCACAGGTTAGTCAGATTCAATTATTCTCTTTTTTTATCTCTGTTNTACAAATAGTTGTGACACCCCCCCCCCCCCCCCCCCCCGCCTCCAGTATTTTAGGATTATAGAATTGGGGAAATAAATGAAGGATTCAATGCTTTCATAAATGCTTAATGCATTTTTGGTAAGAAAGGAGTAAGAAATGGAGAACGTTTATGCCCAGTTTCTTTTTTTAATCCAAAAATCTGTGAAAATTATTGAATAAAATTTACAGGGTGTGTCTATCTTAACATTCGATTGTGCTTATATAGCTCCAAATAGGGATTAACAGATAATTGAGAGCTCGTAGAAAATCCCAAAAATGAAGTATTCAAAACTAAATAAAAGTGAGGATTGGAGAAATAAACGTCCAAATTGTTATTATTTGTAGTAATTAGAAATTAACGCATTCAAAAATATCATTTTAATGTGTAGGTTAAGAATGCAGGGTTTCTGATGGTATTCTGCTCGTTTTATGGAATGAAATCCAATTTGATGGGGGCTGTTTTGTATTTGATTACATCCTTTAAATGTTGTCTTATGGAACTCTCAGCTTTCCTTTTTTTTTAGCATGCAAGAGTAAGAAACTTATTTAGTTGCACATCTTCTTGAGAAAAGATCTTCAGATAAAGGAAATTTTCTGAACATATGTAGGATGTAAAATATTTAGGAGGGAGGGTTGGTGATGCCTAGAAGTATGGTGACCTACCTTCTCTCCCGTATACCCGGATACCCGGAGAGAGAGTTCTGCTGTGTTCTAGAGTACCTTGATAAATCATCCAGGTATCTTTTTATTTATTATGGCAAGGCTAAAACCACGCACGGGATTAGACATCACTCCCATCAGCACGGATCTTCCCAGCAAAATGTTTGGGTCTGAAGGGTGGGGGTTGTCATAAAAAAATAAATATATTTTCCTAACTACCGAATAAATAACCATTTTTTGGGGGGGGGGGGGACTTAAACAATTATCATCGGTGAAGAAGTTAACTTTCCCCTACAATAATGTTTTTCTGTGCCATAATTTGGTTTTTATAATTCAAATATTTTACAATGACTCTCTGACACTTTAATATTTTCAGTGAATTGGAGAACGTTATTGAAATACTGAACTCCCTAGATGGATACTTGGACAACAAGAACGGAAGCGTGGTCCTTGCTGTGTCCAGGCTCTTCGTCAAGATCGTCCTTGATCACCCAAACCTTCAGTCCAGCCTCGTCCAACGACTTTGCCCGATTCTCGAGAAATTGATAAAATCAGCTAAACGAGAATTCCAGTCAGACCTGCTCGACTTTGCGCTTTCTCTTGACAAACAATATTTTGCGCATTTTTCCAAACAAGACAAATTTATTTTACTGAAACCAAAGGAAAGCGAGGACTTAAAGGAGAAGAAAATAAGGTTCATTTGTCGAACAGCGAGGAAAGAGAATTGTATAGAGATCATGAACTACTTGTTAAACCTAGTCCCGATGCCGGAGTCCCTAAATAAAACCGTGCTCAGCTCAGTGTGCACCATTGCAGCCCTGGATGAAAGCGCACACGAGAATTGTATTAGAAATATGCGCTTGCTCGTGAAGACTGATAGAAAGATGTATTTAAACTATATTCTAGAAAGTGATCTAAGATTAGAAAATCTGCAAGAAAATCATTACGAAACGGTTGAGGCCTTAGTGCAGACTTTGCTAGACCAATTTCAACCTGACACAGACTGCAGTACAGTACTATCATCTGTTCTGTACATACTAGAGAACTTTGGAAAGATGTACAAGATGTCCCCCTATGTACTCCAAGAAATATTTGAATCAGACAGATCTTCATGGACCGAAGATATGTACTCTGATGCATTGGCCGCCGGTTTTTCACTTTTCAGCCATTTCCCAGCGGCCATGCAGCCCATTTTATCAAACATACTGCATACAACTTATAAAGTTAAAAATCATAACTTGCATTGCAAGGTGATAACCTATTATAGATTATTGAAACTAATGGTGTAGCTAGAATTTAAATGCCATAAACTGACTGTGATAGATAATTTGTACAAATATTAGCCTAAAATGTTTTTATATTTTTTCAATTGTTTCAGGAAAATGGCTCTTAATCTTACCAGGACCGTTGCTAAGCAGGGTATCCGTACCTTCACTCACCAGACATGGATCTCAGGTGTTTACTTCAGGGGTTAATATTTGTCATTACAAGGTTCCCACTCTTGGGTTCATATCTGTCAATATTGGACCCCCTTGGATAATTGATTTGATTTGTGTAAGCTCACGGGTTTATAACAATATTTACAAGATTAATACTATGATATTTAGGCCCCCCAGATTAATATTTTGATATTTAGGGCCACCTAAATGAACATCTGATATTAAGATAAAAATTCGGACATTTAAGGCCCCCAAGATAGACATTCTCATTTTCAGGGCCCCAAGATTAATATTCTAATATTTAGGGCCTCCAAGATTATTAATTTAATATTTAGGGCCTCCAAGGACCCGTATCGCTTTCCCCGAGAAGGTTGCCCACGGTCTTCTGATCGCCTCTGGAGTCCTCGCCGGCCCTATGTGGATCTTAGGTAGGATATTTTTTATTTAAAGGTTTATATCTTTCTGAGAAATCAGTTCTTTTAAAAATAATACCCCCCCCCCCCCTAAATTTTAAAGGTTAAAATCGCGGAATTTCAGGAAATAAATCAATTTTAGGGTTCAAAAGTTTCAAAATGGATCACAAATATGCATTCAGATGTTCCATTTTTTAAAAATTTAAATTAGAGTACGACCCAAACAACTGTGACGAGCAGGATTAATGCTAGGCTCAAGTTATGATTTTGTCCAGTTTATAATGACTCATTTCTTTTATTATTCTAATTTGCATGCTCTGCTCCTGATGAAACCATTTTTTATAACATCAAATACTCCATGATTTTATGTCATCGCCTTATTCCATCGAGTTATTGGTTATGCTAATTAATAAAAAAAATAAAATCAAAATCTTTACAATTTAAAAAACTAAAATATTGTTTTTTTTTCAGCTCACATCAACGACTATAAGAAGAGGGATTAAACAGCCGGAGCCTAGACCATCCAGATGATCGTTAATGTTTTCTGTTAATTCGTGATTTAACGGTCATAGACTGTTGTGTTACAGATTAATTGATTCCGATTAATACTAGTAGTCGACATGTATCGTTGTAAAATAAACATTAAAACATAAAACAATTTATTCAATATTTTAGAAGAAAATGGACAACAAAAAATGCACTTCTATTGAGAAATAAATGCCATACTGAGGAATAAATGCGTACAGACTGATGAGAAAATCATAACAGACTGAGAAGTTAATGCGTACTGACTGATCAGAAAATCCTAACAGACTGAGGAATAAATGCGTACAAACTGCAAAATGAAAATTGACTGATCGACGAAAAATCAAAAAGGAAAGAAATATTTAAGGTTGCTCCCCATCTTAAAACTTAGGGACTGGATTTCTTGTTCTATTCACAGCGGTACCTTCACTAAACCTTATCATATCCTTTTCTCTGTTGGTAGGGTTGTATGGATGTTAATATTAATGTTCTTTGACAAATAAAAAAAGCTACAATTAGTAAATTCATGTGAAAATGCTACTTAATTAGGACATATACATTTATATAATAAGTACTAGCTGAAGGACCCGGCGTTGCCCGTGGAAAAAAGAAAAATTAAAAATTTTGATAAAATTTCTTTTAACCTATAACACCCACGGGCCACCCATGAGTGTCCACAAAAATTTTCAGCCCAATCGGCCTAGCCGGACCGATTGGGCTGAAAATAAGCATCATATATATACGAATGTCTTGTTTTATTATATAGATTTATACTTAAGGATTAGCGGTTTCCAGCTACTTTAATCGTCAAACAAAGGCTCAAAATGTGCTGTAGTATTTAGGTTTTAATTTTAAAATAGAGAAGTAAGTTGTTGTCGTATGATCCTTTGAACCCTGCACGTAACGTAGTTTTACCACGAGTAAAAAAAAGAAAGATTTTGTCGTTTTTTCATGTTAAAACGTGTCGAATTCCATCAATTCAATTACTTTTCTCTGCAGCATACATCCGCAATTAACTTTCAAAAGAAAAACCACACTGAAAAATTATAAATTTTAAAAAACTGAAGTGGCTGAAGGGTACCGTTGAGAAGCGAACATATCACTCATTAAATGGAGAAGGGGTAACTTGAATAAACATCTCTAGTCCCAGTCAAACTGAATCTGCATTTCAGATTAAAAAATAAAAAAAATTTAAGCAAGATTACTGTGTAGCGAACCAAAGAATTATGAATTTGCGCAGAATAAATTATGTGGGTTACCCTGTATAGCAGACTTAAACAAGATTTTATTTGTTTTTAAAGCAATTCAACAAGGGGGAAGGAGGTAATAATAAACAATAACCAGGGGAAGATATTTTTCAAGAAAAACCAAAATATGCTTAAAAAGAAAAATGTCCCGTCGAAGAGATTTTGAAGACGGAAGATGGAGGGGAGGAGAGGGGATGGAGGAGGAAGGGAGAAGAGGAGGAGGGATGGAGGAAGGATGGAGAAGAGGTGGAGGAGGAAGGAGGAGAGGGAGAGGGGGTAGCTTCGGAACTATCACAGTAACTGATGCAGTCAGGATTGGAGTCAACCTTGCTCTCAACAAATTCCGAAATGATGAGGTGTGATACATAAATTAACATAGCTTGCAGGATTGTTGACAACAATTTTCTTGGCATATAATCTACCTTTCAAGGCAGGGGCATATTTTTTGGTTAATGCCCCCCCCCCCCTTCTCTTCAAAGAATGTGTTTCCTCGTCCTTTGATAGGACCCCAGACATTTATATATAAACTTCGGGAAAACTTCTCTAAGAAAATGGCAATACCCCAAAATGTTTTAAACTTCTTCTAGTATACTGTCCGTAACCATGTTAACCATAATAATTACCCTAAAAACTTACTCATAAAAGTCATCGAAAATATTATAACAAACATTGTTTCTTTCTTAACTTTTCAGAACGAGACAGAACTAGAGTTTCCTTCGTCATTTACGAGCATAGAGAGAGCTTATGTTCACAAGATGGCCATAGAGCTAGGTCTCAAGTCTAAATCACGTGGCCAGGGACAAAACAGGTTTTTTTTTAAATTAATTAAATAAATTTTTTAAAATCCTTTACTGGGACGGCCACATTGGGAAATGGTTGGAACAATTAAAATGAGATGTTTTTATACTTCTGCTTAGAGCTAGCTGCTATAGAGGAGCTAGAGGCAGTCTTTTTAATCAGTTATTTTAAACATTTTGGTTTCGTTTTACAGATGGATCCTCATTATGCAAAAATTTAGCTGTTGAAATATTTTTTTAATAATACTAATGATATTGGAGATTTATTTTCTTCCATTTATGCAGTACATTCCATTGATAACGGTGCCCTTGAACTTTTTGAGTAACAATGAGGAAGATATCTTCGTTCTTTCTTGAAAACTTGTAAAATGTGTCAACTGCTTTCTTTATTTTTGTTAAATAAATCTCCCAAATTTGACTGGTTAAGTAACACCGAAATTGAAAAATATCAATTTTGAGGTATAATTTTAGGATATATCCATCAATTGGGTTTTAACAAAGTTTAAAAGGTACCTTTGGAAATCTTTTGCTTTGGGTTACTTTAAATTTCGTCAACAATGTGAGAAAATTATTATTTTGTTTCAGATACTTGACAGCGTTTAAGAAGGATGAAAGTACAATTGTGAGCAAGGATGCAATACTAACTCTAGTCCAGGTTAAAGAGACTGTAAGCGTAATTTCAAGTGACACTCAAAGCCAAGATGGCAATGCCCGATTCACATTTCAGTATCCTGGAAACCTTTTGGGACATTTTTGTGAAAATTCACATATTTTCCTGCAGTAGAAATACGCAAGTCTATTTTGTAGAGAAACCACAATTGAAAATAATTAGTTTTCCAAATTGTAAACATTAATATCTAACTCAAATTTGATCAGACAACGCTTTTAAGGTGAATCGGGTATTGACATCTTTAAATGGAGGTTCACTTGAACTAATTACTTTAGTAATGGTTTTAACAATGAGCAATTAAGTTTTCAGCCCCTTTCAAAACAACTGAGATTCTTCTAGACAAAAGATTTAAAGTTTGATTTATTGAAATATTGAACATTTTTTGTTGATTAATTGATTGTTGAATTATTTCGATTTTTTAGACTGTTTTTTTTACTTTGCCTGCTGATAGATTTTCTGGTTAACTAAACCATTGTTTCGTTGATTTACCGAGGTTTTTGTTGTTGATAAACTGAATTTTTGGTTGTTTGAATAACTTTGATTTACTTCAGGATTCCATCACATTGATTTCTAATCTTCTTCTTAAATATCCAATCAGGTATTATAATATATTTGTTTAATTAAACTTTTATAATCTTTCGTTAAGTTCTAATAAGTTTACTTTTTGTTCATTTATTTTTTCTATAAATTTCAGCAATGATAAAAATGCGATTTTTTTAAGGTTATATTTTAGTATGCGCGAGCGCTCCAAGTTACGCACTGTCAAATTCTAGTATTGGCTAGAGTGCGGAATTGCGCATGCTTTTATTGTTAAATTTCATTATTCGATAATGCGCTTTCATTAATATTTTACTTACGCGCAGAGTTTCGACTTAATTTCTGTATTTTAGTATGCGCGAACGCGCGGAGTTGCTGCCAATAATAGAGCGCACTATGACTGGTAGAGAAGGAATTCAAGCCACCAGGAGAACAGGCAGACTCGGCTCAGGAATACCTATGGTATAAAGTCCCCCCCCTATGGTATAAAGTCACCCCCTATGGTATAAAGTCCCCCCCTATGGTATAAAGTCCCCCCCTATGGTATAAAGTCCCCCCCTGCCCATCTTCTATTTCAACTTTTAATTATTGCTCAATCTTGCACCATTTTTTGCGGATTTGAGATTTGTGTTCGTATATTTCGAAAATTTTACGAAAATCAGAAGGTTTTGGAGAGAACTTTTAAAGATTCTGAGCTTCCCTGGGGTCATGTAAGGTCCTACACAAAATTTAGCCGTTTGGAAGTTTATAAAACGCAAAGAAGCAGGAAAGCAAAGTTTATATGATATTATAAAGATTATAGGTATAATGATCTCCACAGAAATTGTTAGAATTGTACCAATAAATAACTTATTTTTTACCCTGAAACATTCTAATATATACATTGAAGTATTCTAAAAACAGTGTTCCTTATTAAACTCAGATTGTTTAACGAGAGCCACAATTAGATTTTCAGCACTAGTTTAAGTCTCCTTTTATAACTAACTTATAATTGCTCAAATTTAAAATCCATCTGCATTGTGTTGATCCACTGAAATTTTAAAATTATAACTTTGATAATAATAATACTTCCAGATTCCTGACAAGTTTGGTGGAAAGGAATACCTTCAGAGAAGAAAGGAATTACCTATTTGGGCTCAGAGACAGGAAATCATAGAAACAATTAGAGACAATCAGGTATGATTAGGATCCGGAACAGCTTAATACTCAACTGGATCAGGATCTGCAAAAATATTCGGATCAAATTGCTTTAAAATTTCAATTAGCTCCATACTGAAGTTCATGCTTAGTTTCATATTTAAAGTTCTTGCATATATTCCGTTTATGGATTAAAAAAATAATTTGAAGATTTTAATACATCAATTTGTATAAAAAACAAGATGAAAATTTTTAATATTCCTATTTTTAGTTGAAGAGTTTTAAAAAAGCCATATAAGCACATTGTTTAATAACAAATTCACAAAGACTTCATACTATATTCTGGCCGTTTTAGATTATATTTTGCCCCTTTCTAAAGACTAAGACCTTCTCGCTAAGAAGCGCATATTGTTCCAAAAACATCATTGCGGACCAGAACAATAAAAAAGAAAGCAACGTTATAAGTTGGCTTTTGGTACATTTTGCACCTTTTTGCTTCGACAAAAATATAACCAAATAATGTTTTGAAGTATTAAAAACATTTGTGATTCTTGTGAAGTGAAAAAATCATTTTTTTGGTTTCCTCTTTTTCAATCCTTATAATTTTTTTCAGGTAATATTAATAACTGGAGATACAGGTAGCGGGAAAACTACCCAAGTTCCTCAGTTTCTGCTTGAAGATGCGTTTACCCAACAGCGCCCGGTCAGAGTTGTGGTCTGTGAACCTAGACGGCTAGCGGTCACCACAGTCTCAGAACGCGTAGCACAGGTATTCAAATCTGCTTTGTAGCAAGCTGTTATCAAATTATCAAAAACATTTTGTTAACTAATTAATATTTTTAAATCCTGAAATGGATTTTTATCGGGGTTTCATGTTATAGATTTTGGTACAAATAGTTGTGACACCCCCCCCCCCCCTCTCCATGGGGGGATCACATTTGTGATTTTATGGAAAAGCTAGTTTTAGAAATAATCAAATATTAAAAAATAAAAAGCTCTCAATTTTAGCCAACTTACTGATCAATTTCTCTTAAATAAAAATAATTTAGAATTAGATAACGCCAAGCATATATGAAGAGAATTGAAATCTTTAGTTAGAACCATAAAACTATGGAATATGAAGACGATGTTTTAAGATATTGATCTTAACTCAATAATTGATGATGTTCTAGGAACGTGACGAGGTTCTGGGTCAGACTGTCGGATACCAGATCCGTTTAGACGCTTGTACATCGGAGCAGAACCTTCTCACATTCTGTACTTACGGAGTTCTACTTAGGAGTCTCATGGGTGGGGATCAGGGAAGGGTTTTATTCAGATTAACCTTAGGAATAAATTACGCTGAAAATATGTAAAGTTCAAAGTTTAAATTCTATTTTCAGTATTTATTATTAAGAACAGAATATCCTAAGGGACTGTTACAGGGTGTCCCAAAAAATCATGGGAATTCAGTGACGAATTCGATATCGTCTTAAATAATTCTTTGATTTACTAAAGTGGTACCGGTACTGAGAAATCTGTAATCTGTAAGAGTTTCATCTGCTATGTTCACAATTTGTTTGTTGTTTGACTGCAAACGTTTGTACTTAGTAAAACAAGAATATTGCAGTATACAAACAGAGTAAACTTGTCCTTGTCTCACTGTTTATCTTGCGGAGACATTATAGACACACCTTTCCAGTCTTTTACAATTTTCACAAAATAAACTCTAGCAAACATAATAATATTATGGCTTTTGAAAATAGGTATTACAATGCTAATTCATAACAAAGACGATATCCAATTCGTCACTGAATTCCTATGTTTTTTGGGACACCCTGTAGTGTAGTTTAAAGTGACCCTCCATGAAAGTTGGCACTGTCCGATTTACAACAGTATACTTGTAAGCTTTGTCTGATCAAATATGAATTAGTTATCAATGTTTTTGTTTCTTTTAACTTGTTAATTTTATTTTGCGGTTTCTCTGTAAAAGTTTTTTGTTTATAAGAAGTAATGGAGAAATTCGCAGAGATAAACACTTAGTAAAAAACAAGACGGTATTTTTAACGTTTTTGATCAGATCTAGATTTCTAGGGTACCGTTGTAAATCGGACATTGCTATCTTTGCACGTAGGAGAACTTTAGATTATGCTAACAGTCCCTTCAAATTATTTCAATGTTTTAATTCTGATATATTTACTTATTGAAGAGACAGTTTACTCAACTTCGGTTAAAGAGTTACATGCTCGATTCACAATGTTTCCCCGGAAACCTTTCCCTGAACAATTTGAACGCATTATTTGATATAATTTAAATGAGGAAGATGTTTTACTATCTTGTAAAAAGAAAGATTCTATTAAGTTTCTTCCTTGTTTATGCTGCACAAAACAGGATATTATCAACATTTTTGTTCAGACAAATGTTAATCGGGCGCTTAACTCGTTAAATAGAGCGGAACTTGAAATTTTGTCTACAAACCCTTTAATTTTGCTGAATAAACACCTGGGTTGGTTTAGGTCTCCTCCAACTTCACCCACGTGGTGATAGACGAGGTCCATGAGAGAGATAAGTTATCTGACTTTCTACTCACTGTTATTAGGCAGGGTTTCATCCAGAATACAGGGTTTCAACCATAATACAGGGTTTCAATCAGAATACAGGGTTTCATCCATAATACGAACTTCCTTCAAAATACAGAGTTTCATTCAGAATACAGGGTTTCAACCAGAATATAGGGTTTCATCCATAATACAGTCTTCCTTCAAAATACAGGGTTTCATTAGGAATACAGGGTTTCATTAGGAATACAGAGTTTCATTCAGAATAAAGGGTTTCATTCAGAATACAGGGTTTCATTCAGAAAACAAGGTTTTATCCTGAATATAACGTTATCGACAATAAGTGTTTAATCCAGAATACAGAGCATTTCAAAGACAGAGTACAGGGTTTTATCCAGAATACATGATTTTATCTTGAATACAGGATTTTATCCAGAATACAGTGTTTTATGCAGAATACAGGTTTTCATCCATAATATAGGGTTTCATCTAGAATACAGGGTTTCCTCCAGAATACAGGGTTTCCTTTAGAATATAGGGTTTCATCCAGAATACAGATCTTCCTTTCGAATACAGGGCTTACTTCAGAATACAGGGTATCATCCAGAACACAGGGTTCCATTTAGAATACAAGGTTTCATACAGAATTTCATCCAGAATATAGCGGGTTTCATGCAGAATGCCGAGTTTTATCCAGATTGACGACCAAAGGGTTTCTTCCTGGATCCATACTATTGAAGCTAACATGAGATTCAAAAGTAGTTTCGCACTATAAAAAGAAACAATTGAAAGTAGGTTAAAAAAATTAATGGGATGTTAGTTAAACAAAAGTAACTGAGATTGTAAAATCAGTGCTTAGGATCCATTTGATTTTAATGCGGATCCGGATCCTGGATCCGCAATGGATAAAAATGGATCTGGATCCAGGTAATTTCTTTAGAATTTACTGAATTTTTTTAACAAAAATAATTTCAATTTTTTGTTTTATTTTTTTCGTTTTTTTATCCCAAAACTTGATAAACAATTCAGAAATGAGGAATTTTTATAATCTCTCTTTTTTCAAAAGTTCAGAATTGGGGTTTAGGAGTAAAAAAGTTTTTTTTTTACAGTTTTTGGGTGATATTTTACCCCTTGGATCCGCATCCGTGGATCCGCATATTTTTTTGGATCCGGATCCGGATCCAGGAAGCCAAAATCTTGCGGATCCTAAGCACTGATTGTGATCCAGGGCGTATACAGGATTCATTCTAGTGGGTCTCAGCAGCAGTTAGGGCCTGAAANCCCAATCTCCTCCTCATATACGTTTTGATAGGAATTGAGATAAAACAAATAATCAAATACTAGAAAGAGATCAAAACTTCTCTTATAAACTTCAAAACCTTGATTTTTCCTAATTATAACTGGATCTCTGATATTAGGGATATACTGGAGAAGAACTTAAACCTTAAACTTATTCTAATGTCAGCTACAGTAGATACCAGACAGTTTATCAACTATTTTCCTAACTGCGTCTGGGTAAGTATAATATTTTTAGACTTTTAGGACGCTTCGCGCCCCCTTTCTAGTTTACTCTAGAAAAACTTTGTGCTTTATAACAAAATCAATTACACACAAGATCACTTAAATGTCGTCTTCCCATTCCACAGTTTTATGGGTCAGTGAACTAATCACTATTGTACTATTGCACATGTGCCTCATTGTACCACTGACTAGGTGAGTGTACCTGGTCGTATGTACCCTGTTGAAGAGCATCACCTGGAGGATGTACTTCTTGCCGTACAGTACAACAATTCAGGAAAAACAATAGAAAACTTTAACTGAAAGGAAAAATAATGTGTCATATTTGCCTTTTTATCATAATTAAATATTAATTTCTTGGCTGTCAGGGAGATTCTTCTATTTTAATTGTGAACATTTTCTCTTTGTATGCATTGTAAAATAATAACAAAAAAAGTTGAAATTTTTATCATACATAAACCGGGGTTATTTCTCAGATTTTTTAACTTTAAATGAAATTTTTTTCTGATTCAATGGTTTGAAATGCAGGAGGAACGAAACCAAAATACAGTGGTGTAAAACCAACCTTGAGAAGTGAACCATCCATTGCTCCAGCACAACAACCTCCTGCTGTAGAGACTGATGACGATGTTCTCATCGAGGAGGACGGATCCGAGGTTAAATATGTGGACTCCAACCTGGACGGTCTCCTGAGCTCCGGATTCCTGGATGGGAACCAGGAGAGTATTGATCTTCTCTACTCTATTCTTGAATCTGATATTAGTGTGATGAACTACCAACACTCGGAGAAGGGTGTAACCATTCTGATGGTGGCGGCCGCCTGGGGTGCAAAGGCAGGGTTTATATTGTCTTGAAAAATAAATCCCTCTCCCCTTTTGATTTGTTTTTGTCGATGCTGGGTAGTTTTTTAGAGGTTTAGNGGGGGGGGGTAATTTTTATAAGAAAATAAATGAATTATCGGTGACCAGCAACCTAACATTTGGTCCAGGGTAAACATTATTTTAAAGGATGGGAATGTTGGAAAGGTTGTCAATTTATTAATAATTTTTTATTTTTCCCCAGAGCTAGCATCGAAGATCATTTCTCTCCCTGAGGGTCGTTCTTAAAAAATATAAATCACTGCTTTAAGGACTTACTGGAGTTCCTATTGGAGCTTGGAGCAAATATTCACATAACAGCACCCAATGGTTGGACAGCACTGGACTTCGCTAGGAATACAAACCGTGAAGAATCAGTCAAACTTCTTGAACAACATATACATCAACATCAGGATATCGTCGACGAACCGGAATCGTCCACCGTGACGAAGCTGACGGAAGAGCAGCGTCAGGTGTTGGAATTTTATCAGAATTCCTTTGATGATGATGAAGTTGATCATGGTTTGATAGCTGAACTCCTGGTTTATATAGATCAGCAGGAGCCTGGAGCTGTTCTTGTTTTTCTTCCAGGATACGAAGATATTGTCAGTATTAAGGCAAGTGCTTGTACAGGGTGTCCCACAAACCTTGACAATTTAGCAGGAAGACTTGAAGGTTTTCTTTGAAATAATTTGCAGCATTTATGCGTAAACCTAATTTTAAAAGTATATTTCTTGACTTGATACTCAAACAATGCATTTAAAACCATAACACTTTTGTTCTTTACATAAAGATAAACCTACCGGATAAAAAAAATTTTGACAGTCTAAAATTATTTTTTTCACCATTTTTTCTTTTGTTTTTAATACTTTCAAATAGCTAAATATAAAAATCCACATAATCCTTTATCAGACAAAGGTTTAAATGGTAGAGTTTTGAATCGAACATGCCACCCAATACAAAGAGTTTTCTAGAAATTACGTTTTCAGTTCCTTGAATTTCTAACTGATCGATAAAACTGGTTTTCTTTATAGGAGATGTTGCAGCAAGATAATCGTGCGAAGAACCTGTTAGTCCTCACACTTCACTCACAGATGGCGAGCAGTGAGCACAAGAAAGCATTTGAACCAACACGACCTGGGTTCAGGCAGGGGTCAATCATATTCCACAGATTGCTTAGGATCGATACCTGGATAATTATATATATTATATTGTAGATTTCGCACGTTTTTGTTCTTGTTAGTGTTAAAAATAATGTCGATAACAAAACCTCTTTGCAGACTTTATTAAACAATCAAGTGGAAATTAGCAAAAATACAAATCGTAAGACCTCACTTCATTATTGATTTGATAGTCACTTCAATTTTGGGGTGTGGGTGTAGGACGTCCCTAAATGCATGATTTGATTTGATTTGATTTGATTCGGATCGATAGATCCGGTGTGACGTCAAAAAGCGTCTGGGTAATATTGCGCACTTTGTAATAATTTGGACACTTTCCCCACAATTTTAATTTATGAACACCTGGTAAACATATATTGTAAAAAAATATTTGAATGTAGCAATACTAGATAGAAGTAAAAAAAAAATCCCTCTCGAATTTCCTTGTAGACTTGAAAACATTGATATTTTAACTTCTATCCCCTCTTGCACAATGCACACATGTTATAATTATGTAATAATTAGTCGTAGCATGTAAATTATTCTACAAAAATATTTTGACTTTTGATGCTTTAGTCCAAAATACGCCCGGGCATTATCTCCCGTCTTGATACTTTTTAATATGACACTGAATTCAAGTGGCAACATTTTAACCAAAACATTAAAGAACATATTCCTGATTATTGGATGGTAAATCAAGTCTCTGCGAACAAAAAATGGCGAAAAAATAATAAATAGTTGTTTTTGTAAAATAAATTAGCTGCGTCCGGATTCACATCTAAATGAAATGGATTCTAAGCACTGATTATGAATGACCCCTATTGTTTAAAGGAAGGTCATTCTATCCACTAATATAGCAGAAACTGGAATAACACTTAACGATGTTATCTATGTAATAGATTCAGGTAATAAAACTAAATATTTTATATTTAAATCAACTATTGCAAGTGACCCCCCCCCCTATTTGTGGAATGTCTGATTCACAATTGTTCTTTGTCTTCTAATAGGTTAATGAAATCTTAAGAGATTTTAGCAACAAAAAATGCTAATTTACAATTTTTTGTTGTTGATTAAAGCAGCAAAAAAACAAAGACGGGAAAGTCAGAATTGAACAATTTCATGCCGTTTTATTATTCGAAAGACACAAGATACAGAGTTGAATGTGTTACTTGTTTATCACTACAGTGAGAACCAGAAAACTCTGGAAAAGGTAGACAACTTTTAGACACAAGTTACGACTTTAAATATTCAAATGAACATGTGACACAACAATTGTGCTATGTAAACAGACCCATTTTACTAAATTAATGATTTAATATGTTACTAATAGAACTATTTGCTTAATTAATTACACTCTTATATTGCTTTTATGTCGTCTGCCGATTCCACAATTTTCTGGTTATCACTGTATTATTATTATTTGATAATTTTAAAATCCTTATTATTCTTAATTCCAATAATTTTTCAAAATATTATTTGTATTTCTTGTGAAGGCAAAGTGAAGGAGAAATCGTTTGATGCATTAACTAACTCGACAATGCTGAAATCAGATTGGATTTCACAATCATCAGCTACCCAGGTCAGTGCTATTTTTCTTATTGATTGTTAGCAACAAACTTTATCAACACCGTTATTATTATTGCAATAGATTTATTTGAGACTTAAACCTTCCATTTTATTTGATTTCATTTCATTCTGTTGGGTTTGATTTGATTTGATTTGATTTGATTTGATTTGATTTGATTTGATTTCATTTGATTTGATTTGATTTGATTTGATTTGGTTTGGTTTGATTTGATTTGATTTAATTTGATTTGATTTGATTTGATTTAATTTGATTTGATTTGATTTGATTTGATTTGATTTGATTTGATTTGATTTGATTTGATTTGATTTGATTTGATTTGATTTGATTTTAAGTTTTTCTAATTTAATATCTAGAGGAAAGGAAGAGCGGGAAGGTGTCAGCCTGGCAAAGTCTACCGACTCTTTTCCTCCATTAGGTACTTTTTAATCAAAAGGCCTTTTTTAGGCGCTGATGTTCTATTAGAAGTTTTAGCTTTTAAATCTTATTTTCCACTCCGTCATTTTGTATTCATACATCATCTAACTACATTCGCCGATTTTCCCGTTTTATTTGAGTGATTTCTATTTTTCAAGTAACAACACTTTTGGGAAGCTATGATTAAAAATACAACACTGTGTATCAATTGAAGAGTGACTTTTTGATTTTTTAATACGTTCAGTTAGGAATTAGGCTTTGACCGAAATGACTGTTATTGGAAAAAACTTCGCTCGTAAAAGTCCGGCTTTTAACTTCGGTAATTATTGGAAGGAGTTATTCTTAAAAAACTAAGTTTTGATTTTGTCAAGGTACTCCCACCTGGCTTCCTACCAGACTCCTGAGATACTCCGGACTCCTCTCCTAGAGCTCTGTCTCCAGTCTAAGCTCTTGGCTCCTCCGAACACTCCGATTGCGGATTTTCTGGCAAAAGTTCCAGAGCCTCCAGCATTTCTTGGTAAGTTCCAGAGCCTCCAGCATTTCTTGGTAAGTTAAAAATCTGTCTTCTTAGTTTTCGGCTTCCTGCCAAAAAGAATCTAAGCCAAAAAATGGTCGGAATATATTAAAGAGACATTCGCTCCGATTCACCACGGTACCTTTTAATCAGGGAATAGGAATAATTAAGGGAAAGGAAATGGCGCAGGTCTGGCATGAGAAAGCCAGTCGCACTGCTTTGCAGACAAGTTCGGTAAACACACAAACACCTTTGGTACAGACACACAACATGACTACAGTCAAGGAAATTGAAGAACAATGTTAATTAATTATAATTAAGCTTGAATAACGACTAGTTTATTGTAAACTTTAATCAAATTATATTCTTTGCTTGAAAATTTGGCTTATAGTGTTGACTTAAATATATAAATAATATACTACTTGAATATTAAACTTATTTTTAAGTAAACAATTAACAAAAAACAAATGTACTCTCCTAGACTGTACAAATACCGAGATTCTAATGTACTGTATATAGTATATACCTACAGTACACACCTTCAGTTCATGGGAAACAGTCAAGTCACTTTTTTGAGAAACCACAATTGTAAATAATAAATTTTAAGAAATGCATTCTTTATCAGAAAAAAAAGCTTTTAGTGCCACTCTTATAATCAGTCATTTAAAATTATGTCATCGTCCCTTTAAGTATGTTGACTTGGGAAGAGGATTTACCAAAAAATAAGGATTGGCCAAAAAATAAGTATTTACCAAAAAAATATGGATTTGCCAGAAAATAAAGATTGGTTAAAAAAAATGAGGATCGGGCAAAAAATAAGGATTAGCCAAAAAAATAAGGATTGTCCAAAAAATAAGGATTGGCCAAAAATAAGGATTTGCCTAAAAACATGGATGGGCCAGAAAATAAAGATTGGCCAAAAAAATAAGGATCGGCCAAAAAAATAAGGATTGCCCAAAAAATAAGGATTTAACAAAAAAAAATAAGGATTTAACAAAAAATTAGGATTTACCCAAAAATAAGGGTTTACCAAAAAATAAAGATTTACCAAAAATAAGGATTTACCATAAAATTAGGATTGGCCCAAAAAAAAGGATTGGCCAAAAAATAAGGATTTGCCAAAAAAGGATTGGCCAAAAAATAAGGATTTACCAAAAAATAAGGATTGGTCAAAAAAAAGGATTTACCAAAAATTGGATTTGCCAAAAATAAGGATTTACTAAAAAATAAGTATTGGCCCAAAAATAAGGGTTTACCAAAAAATAAGGATTTACCAGAAAATAATGATTCGCCAAAAAATAAGGATTTAATTATTCCATCGTTTTCTGGTTATTACTTAATATGTTTATTTCAGTAACCAGGAATGCTGTACAGTCTCTTAAAACATTAGAGGCTCTTGACCAATGGGAAGAGGTCACAGTTCTAGGCTCACATCTTCTAGATATTCCACTAGGTACAGGACAGGACAGGACAGGACAGGACAGGACAGGACAGGACAGATCGGGGTCAGTACAGGACAGGGTACAGGATAGGACTGGGTACAGGATCGGACAGGGTACAGGACAGGACGGATAGTCACTTGCCAATCACTTGACAATAACAGAATGTTCAGTATCAAATTGTGATTTATGTTTCTAGATCCTGTTTATGGTAAAATACTACTTTATGGTGTAGTAATGAGATGTTTGGATCCTATTCTAACCATCTGCTGTTCTTTATCCTACAGGTAAATTGCACAAGACATCACTTATCGATGTATTATTTATATTAAGAATCACTCCCAGGGGGATATGGAAAATACTTTTTAAAGAAATAGACTTCACCTAACCTTGGGTTTTCACCATTTCACCAAAAAGAAAGATTGGAGGGAAGAGAAATCATTTTAAGAAAGGGTTGAAAGGAGGGTTATCATTTTAAGAAAGGATTGAGGTAAGGGAATGCATTTTAAGAAAGGGTTGAAAGGAGAGTTATCATTTTAAGAAATGATTGAGGTAAGGGAAATCAATTTAAGAAAGGTTGGAGGGAAGGGAAATCATTTTAAGAAAGGATTGAGATAAGGGAAATCATTTTAAGAAAGGTTGGAGGGAAGTGAAATCATTTCAAGAAAGGATTGAGTTAAGGGAAATCATTTTAAGAAAGGTTGGAGGTAAGGGAAATCTATTTAAGAAAGGTTGTAGGGAAGGGAAATCATTTTAAGAAAGGATTGAGATAAGGGAAATCATTTTAAGAAAGGTTGGAAGGAAGTGAAATCATTTCAAGAAAGGATTGAGTTAAGGGAAATCATTTAAAGAAAGGTTGGAGGTAAGGGAAATCTATTTAAGAAAGGTTGGAGGGAAGGGAACTCATTTTAAGAAAGGATTGAGTTTAGGGAAATCATTTTAAGAAAGGATTCAGGTAAGGGAAATCAATTTAAGAAAGGTTTGAGGGAAGGGAAATCAATTTAAGAAAGGTTGGAGGGAAGGGAAATCATTTTCTAAAAAATAAAGGGAAAAGAAGTCATTATTTTTAATGGTAAAGGGGAAAAAATCTTTGTCAGGAAAGGGTGGAGAGAAGGGAAATCATTTAAAAAAATTATAAATCTTGATATTTAGGGATCCCTTCCTTTTACCGTCAGATAGTCGTGGGAAGAAGACTGCTGATATTATGAAGAAACGATTAGCAGGGAATACATTCAGTGATCATTATGCTCTTCTTAATGCATTTAAGGTAATTGTTTAATAAATATAAAGCGTCTCTTAAAAAATACGATGGAAAAGAAAATAAATGGAACCACAATTTTTTTTTAATTATAATTGAGCAAAATTAAATATTAAATTATAAATTTCAAAAAATACTTTTGCTTTGATGCTTTTCAAAACCTGAATGATATTACTTATTTTATAATTATATTCTTCTGAACATTGTTGTTATCACACTTTGCAAAATTTTGATTCTTTAGAACGATTTAAAGCTGAAGAAGATTAAAAAATATTTGTCTTTTTTTAAATGTCCAGTCAAAAAAAGGAATAAATTAAATTAAATAAGTTAAAATGTCTTTGATAAGTAGTTCAATCCTAGATCAGACAATACTTTCTTTTGAACTTGAAAATTTGTATTTCAATGAACTAAATAAAATTAAATATCATTAAAGTTTGTAAATAACAATAGTAAGTAGTAAGTACAATAAACATTCTTTCTCATATCACTTACAAATGGGGTCAATCTTATTTATACTGTCGAAATCATCGCCAGAAAATAAGAATTTTGCTTTAGGTTTTAGTCATCAATTAGAACAAAAATTGTCTATTTTACCAATAAAAAAATAAAAACTCAGTTAAGAACTTGAGATGCTGAGGATGCAAAGTCATAAAAGCTCTTTTTAAATACAGCTTTTCATTTATTACCTAAAAAAATAGAGGAATCTCAATGTTTATTGTTCAAGTCTAACTTATTAATTTATTTGAATGTGATTTTATTTACCTCGCCTCAAATTGCCTTCGCTTTTGTCTTTGCCCTTGTCCTTGTCATTGTCATTGTCATTGTCATTGTCATTTTCATTGTCCTTACCTTACCTTTACCTTGCCTTTGCCTTGCTTTGACTTTGATTTTGACTTTAACTTGACTTTGACTTGACTTTGACTTGACTTTGACTTGACTTTGACTTGACTTTGACTTGACTTTGACTTGACTTTGACTTGATTTTGACTTGACTTTGACTTGACTTTGACTTGACTTTGACTTGACTTTGACTTGACTTTGACTTGACTTTGACTTGACTTTGACTTGACTTTGACTTGACTTTGGCTTGACTTTGACTTGGCTTTGATCTTAAACAATGTCCATTTGTCCAACCTTTTTTTTATGTAAGGAGTGGGATCTAGCGCGGTCTAAGGGACAGGAGAGGGGATGGAGTCTCAGGAATAATATATCTAACTCTACTATGCTCATGATAGACGGGATGAAAGCTCAGGTGGAGTAGTTGAAGAGGGGATTGAAGTGGTTTAGGGTTAAAAATAAGAAGGATTTCGTGTTTGATACAGTGAGACCCATAAAACTGCGGAATAGAAATAAGACTGTTAACCTGTTAACTGTTATAAATTTATATAGTTGAATGATTATGAAACACTGACATTGTGTAGTGTACACAGACTCATTTTACTTAACAAGATAATTGTCAAGCTACTGGTCCCTTTATAACAATAAACACACACAAATACTATAAATATCGTCTTCCTTTTCCACAGTTTAGAATTCTACTCGGACTTGTTTTACTTCGAACTAAGTATTGGTAGCAACATAGTGGTGTTTAAACAACTTGATCCATTTTAAAGTTTAGTTCTGAGCCCGCAGTTTCATGGGTCAAACTGTATTTTAAAATCAAGCATCAAGAATCTGTATTAATTAATGATACAGTGGTCGGCGTTTATATCAATACAATGAAGACTTTTCTATTAAAGTTTTGATTTCTTACAAGCTCTTTTCCAATTACAAGTTTACAAGTAAACAAAGAGAAGCTATTAATTTACAGCTTCTCTTTGTTTCCATGTTTATGTGTATTCAATTATCCAGTTCTACTTTCATTAATAATGTTTTAATCTAAAAAGTTTTTTCTTCAGGTTTTAAACCATTTAAAGCAGAGTAGGTTTATACCCTGCAGTGGAGGAACGGGACGCTACAACTCCAACAGTGGAAACTGGTCCGTTGTTAAATCCTGCATTGTGGCAGGCCTTTATCCAAACCTTGCCAGGTAGATTTAAAACTTATTATTTACTAAGGCAAATATTTACGGGACAAGCAATTTTTTTTATCATGGTTTATCAGAAACATGAAATAAACTGCACAGTCCCTTTAATGGATGTTAGGTACTTCTTTCCCCAAAGGCAACTTCCCAGGTAGCCCATCCTAGCCTCAAAAGACCTAACCTAACCTTTAGGAAGTTACCGTATGGGAAATTTGTAAGTTGCTACTTCGGAAATTGTCACTGTTAAGTCGCCATTGGGAAAATACCTGACACCCTATAATGGAATAAATTGTATTCCAGGTATGACCGAGATGCCCGGCAGCTGAGAACTAGTCGTGAGAGTAAGGTTAAAATCCATCCTGGGAGTGTTTGCTCAGATCTAAATAAACAAATAAAGGAACATTATTATTTTAGAAAACTTATATTTTAAAAGAATTTACTTTTTCAAAAAATTTTGATGATTATGAAACCTTTGAATACAGGTGAAAATAAAAAAAATATATATTTGTAAGAAAATAAATAACTTTGTCTAAACTCTTTCTCTAAACACTGTTTTTCTTAATATGTTAAGATCATCCATCGTCATTTGCCATTGTAAGTTTTATAAATGATTTTTACTGCGGTCTAATTTGTAAATTATCCAGCCCCCTTCTCTTTCTTCTTCTTTGCCCCTGCCCAGGCGCGTACACAGGATTTAAGCCAGAGAGGGGGGGGGGCAGGAAGACTATCCCCCCCCCCTCTACTGCCCCTAACCCTACTGCTTAAACAGAGCCACCCCGGCCTTGTAAGCTGGGAAATTTGAATTCTGGATATCAAGATCAATGCTTGATCTTGATCTTTTGTTAATCTGCAGATGAATTTGATCTTTATTTAATATCCCAAAGAATAATTTTACCCTACAAGAATAACTGAAATTAAGAGGTTAAGCATTGATTCTCAAATTAATAGTGCTCACTGTGGATATGGGGATCACGCCATCGGGATTATGAGCATTCCGCACAAAATTTCCCAGCTCAAATTATTAATAGATAGATAGTCAATGATGGTTGCGCTTTTTCAGAGGAGGGGGGGGGGGAAGTACGGAACATATATAAAACACTAGCTTGGGAACCCAGCTTTGCCTTGAAACTACGTTTTCCTTATAAGATTAAATTTAGGACTTTTAAACCTAGCTGAGAACATACCCGAGGTTCTACAGAGTTCCTCAATTAAAATTTCTGAGTTACAATCGGTCAAAGTTAAACAGAGATTACTTCTTTCTATATAGATAGATAACCAGCTTTCTAAGTACTAATGTACAGACTCGTGGCCTACCTTCTGATTGGTTAATATTCACCGAGATGACACGTGTTGGGCGCACAACCTATATCCGTGGCGTGTCATTCATCACCCCGGCCTGTGTTGGACTACTCTGCGGCCCGTCCCGGCTACCGGCCAGCGTGTGGGAGACAGGAGAGAGGACGGGTCAGGTCAATCAGTATATAGAGGTGAGAATGAATTTTGCTGATGAAGGGACTAAACAATTAATCAGGAGAATTTATTTGAGTTGATTTAACAATTGATAATAATCGATCAGGATGATATCAATAATTTAATCGATCAGGATGATATCAATAATTTAATTGATCAGGATGATATCAATAATTTAATTGATCAGGATGATATCAATAATTTAATCAATCAGGATGATATCAATAATTTAATTGATCAGGATGATATCAATAATTTAATTGATCAGGATGATATCAATAATTTAATTGATCAGGATGATATCAATAATTTAATTGATCAGGATGATATCAATAATTTAATTGATCAGAATGATATCAATAATTTAATTGATCAGGATGATATCAATAATTTAATCGATCAGAATGATATCAATAATTTTATTGATCAGGATAATTTTGACCATTGATAATAATTGATCAGGATGATTTTGACAATTGTTAATAATTGATCAGGATGATGTTGACAATTGATAATAATTGATCAGGATGATCTAAACAATCAATATTGATTGATCAGGATAATTTTAACAATTGATTATAATTTTTTTTAGGTCTAAATGTTTATTTTGTAAAATTATGCCATAAAACATTATTGGTTTAAAAATATGTATATACTAAATATACTTGTAGGGCATTTTACATTTATATATATATTTTCACAGTCTATTAAACAAAGAAAGATAGGGTTTGGTTTTTGGGGAGGGAACTGATCCATCCAACTGAGGGATTAGAGATTCCCTCGGGAAGCCCACATCACAGGATGGGAAAGTTTCTGTGCAAGAAGCACTAGATAGTACTCCTTGATTTGGGGAACCTGCACTTTAGGGTCTCCTACAACGGAGGAACCTTCACCAGGCCTACTGTAGAGGAACCTGCATTAGGGGCTTCTACTGTAGAGGAACCTGCACCAGGGGCCCCTACTGTAGAAGAATCATCACCAGGGGCTCCAACTGTAGAGGAACCTGCATCAGGGGTTTTTAGTTTTGAGAAACTTGGTCCTTCTTTACTGAAACCTGCTCTGTGGGTTCTGAAAGCTCTAGGGAAAACTGGTCTCAGATCTCTGGATCCTGGAAGATTTCCTCTATGGGTTCCTAATCCAGTAGAACCCGCTCTAAGGGTTCCTGCGCTATCAGAAACTGCTCTAAGTGTTCCTCCTCGACCTGCACCTGTTCTTTTGGATCCTAACTGGCTGAAACCTTCCCTGCTGGTTCTTTCCTTGGATAGGACCACTCTAGGGGCTTCGGCTGTACAGGAACCTGCTCTAAGGTCAGGAACTGCTGAAGAAACTGCTCAGAGGGGGTTCCATTTACAGGCCTCATGATTTCTTTTCTTCTCTTTATCTTTCTCCGCAGGTTTCGATTCTAAGTTTGTTTATTTTGTTTCTCCTGGTTCCATCCTGATGATGGAGAATCCCTGGACAAGGGAAGAGGAGAATTTGTGAGTATGAAAAACTCCCGACTTCCCCTATACCACAGGTTTAGTGTATCATCTAGGCCTGATAGAGAGCACTGATGATACAAGTCTAGGATCCATTGTCTGAGTTCCATAATAACTATAAGGTGTAATTCAACTGATTCAGCTGACAGATTGTACTGCAGTCAGTATATGTATACATGTTGACAGGAGTAAGGGTATGGTGGAACTGAGAAAGGGTGGGGTGGAACTGATTTAAGGGTGGAGTGGAACTGATAAGGGTGGGATTGGAAAGCATTTATTTAAGTTTATTTAAACAATTGATACTAATTACTCAGGCTGATTTTAATAATTGATAATAATTGATTAGGATGATCTAGACAATTGATTATAACTGATTAGGGTAATTTAATCAATCGACCATAATTTATCAGGAGACTAGTGATTCTGAAGAGGAAGATCATGATCTCCAGGATTCTATAATAGTAAACCTTGATCCTTGGGTCTCCTTCAGGTCAGATATATATATACAACATTAAACAATAGAGGTCTTAACTCTAGTTTGTGATGGAGATAATCCACAGCACTCTTAATCAATTTCCTTTTTGAAGCGATTTAGCGCTTAATCCATGAAAAACAGATGGTGGCATATTTTCACCCTCCTTGATCGCATTTCAGAAATTTTCAGAATGAATTAAATTTATCTGTCATATTTTAAAAGAAATCAAAACTAAAATGTTCTGTCCTTTGTAATATTAAACTGTGGTCGGAATTTATGACCAGCTGTAAGTAGTTGAACTAAGTACGAAGAATGTTTACTAATTAGTTAATCTAAGTTTTGTACAAAGAGGGTTAAACTATTTTTTTGTTGGTGCAAGAAGGATCGGATATTTAATAGAACAATTTAATCCAGATTTGATTAATGAGTATAGAACAGTTTGATATATATTGTAGAAGGATCGGATATTTAATAGAACAATTTAATCCAGATTTGATTAATGAGTATAGAACAGTTTGATATATATTGTAGAAGGATCGGATATTTAATAGAACAATTTAATCCAGATTTGATTAATGAGTTATAGAACAGTTTGATATATATTGTATAAGGATCGGATATTTAATAGAACAATTTAATCCAGATTTGATTAATGAGTTTAGAACAGTTTGATATATATTGTAGAACAACCTCTTCGTATGCCCAGCGTCTACTACAGTTAAGACAGAAATGGACTCTGCTCTGGCACAGAACACTCTCTCATAAATATGATGCAGCACAGGTTTGTTAAAAATCAACATTGAGGACAGTGCTTTGTCTCCATCCCCCTCTAATGTACACTGTACATTCACTCTTCTAAGTAAGATTATGTTAAAGGGACTGTAAGTGTAATTACAAGTGACCCTCCATGCAAAGATGGCAATGTCCAATTTACAATAGTAACCATTGAAAGATTTGCCTGATTAAATATAAAAAAGATATCAATGTTTATGATTTTAAAACTCGGATTATTTTTAATGCTGGACCTTATCTAAAAAGTGACTTGCAGCTGACTTTTATGACATAATTAGCTTCAATTTTTCAAATGGCTTCAATTGGGACAATTAACTGATTTGTCTAACTTTCTAAACTGACTCCATTGTTCTAACTTAGGGTCTAAAATTAACGTCTTCAGTTCCTTTAAAGTTTAGTTTTGAATGATCGGGTGTTTAAGGAGATAGTTGACAATATTGTTGTGGCGGCTGTTGGTGAGGTTCTACAGCTGGAGGATCAACAACAGGGTCTTATCAGCCAACAACCGTACAGGTAGTGTCGTAAACCATTACGGATCGATTGTATTATGTTAAAGTTTACTTTTGTTAAATTTTGCAATATCTTAATTCTTTATCCTAAAAAAAAATAAAAAAATGGAAAAACGATAAAAACGATAGTTACAACTCGTACGTATCTGGGTCGTTATTTGCAATATATCTTCTGCTACGGTCAAAATTTGACATTGTAAGAGAAACAAATGTTAAAAATAGAATAAAATTTTCAAGACATTTTCTCTTTGTACATTATGCCAAATTTTGACCCTGAGAGGAAATATTGGCAAATAACGAACTAACTGAAGGCACAGCACTACTCACAGGTAGGATCTTTGGGATTATTATTACTAACAGAAGTATCTGCCGTTGCCTGTGCCAATCAGTCTACTTAAAGTTATCCGTTAAATTAGCAGTCTTGATCTATGTGCCCAAGCCTGGTCTCTTTGCTTCAAAGAAAATGACCCTCGTGTGTTTAAACGGTTAAATTTAAATATCCACGAACTTTGTTACCCAAGGTTGAGCACGGCGCATGACACAATTTCATTTTAATCGTTAAATGCTGAGTAACTTTGATTATAAAAAAGATATTGTTAAGGGGAGATGCCACTGCTTAAGAATTATTGGAAATAATTGATTTTGAGAATCTTATTATGAACCCTTGAACTCTTCATGAATCTTTAATGAACCCGTGAACTCTTCAGGAATCATATTATGAACCCTTGAACTCTTCAGTAATCTTATTAAGAAGCCCTCTTCAGTAATCTTATATGAACCTTTGAATTCTTCAGGAATCTTATATGAACCCTTGAACTCTTCAGGAATCTTATTTAAACTCTTGAACTCTTCAGTAATCTTATATCAACCCTTGAACTCTTCAGGAATCTTAAATGAACCCTTGAACTCTTCAGGAATTCTATTATGAACCCTTGAACTCTTCGGGAATCTTAAATGAACCCTTGAACTCTTCAGGAAATCTATTATGAACCCTTGAACTTTTCAGGAATCTTAATAGAACTCTTCAGTAATCTTATATGAACCCTTGAACTCTTCAGGAATCTTATATGAACCCTTGAACTCTCCAGGAATTTTATTATGAACCCTTGAACTCTATAGGAATCTTATTATGAACCCTTGAACTCTTCAGTAATCTTATATGAACCCTTGAACTTTCAGGAATCTTATTTGAACCCTTGAACTCTTCTGGAATCTTATACGAACCCTTGAACTCTTCAGGAATCTTATTAGGAACCCTTGAACTCTTCAGGAATGTTATTATAACCCCTTGAACTCTTCAGGAATCGGTTAGCTGAAGCACTGAGTAAGGTTCATCTAAATGATGCTGAGCCAAGACTTCAAGATATTCCACCCCCCTCAAGAGGCCTTGATGTCCCGCCTATGTTGAGACCCCCACCCAACCTTCCAACCACATATTTCCTGGTTCGACCTAGTCCTGGCAGCCTCAATGCCCTGGAGTCTGCCATGTCTCATGGTAACACAGCAGTTTGGTCTTTTTCTCCTGCTGTAGAGAGACGGGTAAGTAAACAGTGTGTCCTTTTGTCTGTTTTTCTTTTCCAATTTCAGTTTTCCTGTGTTATAGTGTGTTAGTTGGTCAGAGTGAGTCAGTTTGTCAGTTTTCCTGGGTTCTAGTGTCCTGTTTATCAGAATGGGTCAGTTAGTCAGTTTTCTTTTTTTTTTCTTTTTTTTTGGGGGGGGGGGGTTCTGGGTTCTTGTTTTCCATTTTGCCAGTTTGTCTGTTGTCCTGGGTTCCCGGGTTATAGTTCCTAGTTTGTCTGTTGTCCTGGGTTCAAGTGTCCCAGTTTGTCCGAGTAGGCCAGTTTGTCAATTTTCCGGATTTCCTGGGTTCTAGTGTTCCCGGTTGTCAGTGTGGCAGTCACTTGTCAGTTTGTAATTTTTTAGTTTTGTTTGTTTTTGTTTGTGTGTTACTGTGTCAGTTTGTAGGTTTGGCTGTGAGTTTTTGTTTTGTTTGTTTTTGTTAGTGTGTTACTATTTCAGTTTGTACGGTGTAATTGTAATTGTAACACTGACATAAGATATTATACCGGAACTACCATGTTAAATTTTTAAACTGTTCTTTTATATTTTCTGAACAATCTGGTTCCTAAATATTAGTCTGATGAATAATAAATGCATCTTAAATCAAGAGATTTCATATAAAGGGACTGTAAGGGCAATTTCAAGTGACCCACCATACAGAGATGGGAATACCCAATTTACAAAGCTTTGTCTGATAAAGAAGGAATTAGATTTTCATGTTTTTGTTCAAACTGTTTATTTTCAATTGTGGTTTTTCTGCAAAAAAGTTATGTGCATTTCCTGCGTAAAAGAAACAATGGAGAAATTCACAAAAATAAACACTCAATTACGGTTTCAAGGGTACCGTTGTAAATGGGCCATTGCTATCTTTGCATGAAGGGTCACTAAAATTGCGCTTACAGTCCCTTTAAGAAATATTTTAACACAGAAAAGAGAAATTAGGAAAATAAATCTGTCAGAATAAATTAAATATTTTACAGATTCTGGTTTCAATTCAGCAGGGTAGAAGTGTTGTAGTTCTATTCAACATCACTGGAACACATCAAATACAGGTGGGAACACATCATATACAGGTTGCAACACATCGAATATAGGTTGGAACATATCAAATATAGGTTGGAACATATCAAATATAGGTTGGAACATATCATATACAGGTTGGAACACATCAAATATAGGTTTGAACATATCAAATATAGGTTGAAACACATCAAATATAGATGGAAACACATCAAATATAGGTTGGAACACATCAAATATAGGTTGGAACACATCAAATATAGGTTGGAACACATCAAATATAGGTCGGAACACATTAAATACAGGTTGGAACATATCAAATACAGGTTGAAACACATTAAATACAGGTTGGAACTCATCAAGTACAGATTGAGACACAGTAAATCCAGGTTGGAACAATCAAATATAGGATGGAACACATTAAATAAAGGTTTGAGACACAACCTCCCCCTCTAGGAGCTCCTAGGGGGGGGGGGGCTAAAAAATTGCACTTAGCACATATTTGGCCACCCCCTAGATTTAGTTTTTGTTTATCATACTTTTATTGGAGTTGTCTAATAAACGATCATATTTAGGGCTCTGCAGCTGTCTTTGGACAAAGAGTGAGTGAAGGAAACAGAGTTGGACAACGGATTGAGTGGGTGAGTTCAAATAAGGAACTGTGTGATGTAGGTAGGACGTATGATAGGAAGTATGATAGGACGTATGATATGACGTATGATAGGACGTATAATAAGACGTATGATAGAACGTCTGAAAGGACGTAGATAGGATGTAGGATAGGATAGAAATGAGATAGTTTGTAGGATAGCAATAAGATTGCATGAAGGATAGCGTATAGAATAGCACCTAGGATAGCGTGTCGGATAAAAATAAGATAGCATGTAGGATAGCAATGAATAGCTTGGAAGATAGCATGTAGGATAGCATGTAGGATAGCATGTAGGATAGCATGTAGAATAGCTTGGAAGATAGCACGTTGGAAAGCATGTAGGATAGCATGTAGGATAGCAATTAGAATAGCTTGGAAGATAGCACGTTGGAAAGCATGTAGGATAGCATGTAGGATAGCATGTAGAATAGCTTGGAAGATAGCACGTAAAGCATGTAGGATAGCATGTAGGATAGCAATTAGAATAGCTTGGAAGATAGCACGTTGGAAAGCATGTAGGATAGCATGTAGGATAGCAATTAGGATAGCATGGATGATATCACGTAGAATAGCAATTAGGATAACATTAAAGGGAGTGTTCGCGAAAAATGAAAGGGGTTATAGGCTTAATGCGATAAAAAAGCGCCTTTGATCGCTACTAATCTTACTTCTATCTGTTGCGTCTATAAGGAGAAAATTGATAAAGACGTCTCATACCGAAGAGCGTAGCGCCCATACAAATTGAGGAAGTTGGATCATACTACTTAGACCGTAAAAAAATCAAATTAATATCAAACAAATCATTCAAATATTACAACCTATAGTCATCGATTATCTTTCGCCACATTTGTATATGTATTTAATATTTCATACTAGTTTTGATTTTGTTTTTTAAATTAATATTTAGCTTACAACTTGTTTTCGAACATTCCTGGAAAATATGGAAATGTCGTCTTCATTACCAAAAATCCTTGAAACAGGAATAAACATTTTTATAAGTAACTCTCAGATCATAACGATTAAAACATATTATGAAAAATCAGCTATATATAAATGTGGCGAAAGATAATCGATGACTATAGGTTGTAATATCTGAATGATTTGTTTGAAATTGAATTGATATTTTTACGGTCTAAGTCGTATGTTGCAATTTTCGCAATTTGTATGGACGCCATGTTATTCGGTATGAGACGTCTTTAACAATTTTCTCCTTATAGACGCAACAGATAGAAGTAAGATTAGTGGCGATCAAAAGCGCTTTTTTATCGCATTAAGCCTATACCCCCTTTCATTTTTCGCGTACACTCCCTTTAAGGATAGCAATTAGGATGTCAATAACGATAGTACGGAAGATAGCAATTAGAATAGCACGTAAAGCATATAGGATAGCAAATAGAATAGCACGTAGGATAGCAATTAGGATAGCATGGAAGATATCATGTAGGATAGCACTAGAGCATAGGAGGATAGCACTAATAATAATATACAGGAAACCAAAGGGAATCCTTTAATTACAAGGATCACCCAAGGTCCCTTAGGATACCAGGATCAAACAGGGGCTCTTGAATATGGGGACCCCGTGATAACATATTATTTTCTAGCTGAGTAGACAACCCTTGGATTTAAACCATCTTGGTCCATTGCTGTCAACTCCAGAACTGCAGCAGGTAGATTATATTGATAGATATTTTATTTTTCATTCAAGGTTTTTCATATTATTGACTGTTTACATGAAGATTATCTTTTTATTTGTATTTAAATGTAATTTTCTTTATAATTATGTTATGTCTTGTATCCTGCATATTGAAAATTGATTGCTCAAAATCTGTTGAAAAGTTATAGTTTATGTTATATATTTCGTGGGATATCCTGTATCTAATCTGTTTTGTTGTAGTGGAAAGATATTACGGAAATATCTGCAGACGCAGCTAGACCGTTCCTAACACAACATAACCCTATGGTGAGAAATGTATTACTTTATCCGTCTTTTTATGCACATATAATGAAGACGACTTTTTTATTTAAGTTTTAATTGTTAACAAGCTTTATTTGAATTACAGTGGACAAGGAATTAAAGAGAAGCTTTTTTAATTGAAAGTTTCACTTTGTATCCGTGTTTTGTGTATCCATGCTGTTTAAAAGCGTGTATTTAACTCCAAATTTAAATCGAAAGCCGTCTTCACTATATTGATATAATTGTCTACCACCAAATATGAAGTAGTAACCTTTGTCTGTCTGTTTGATTTTTTGAGTGATATATGTCTGACATTTTGATTGGAAACTCGGGAAGAACTACTGAGGCCGAATTTTAAAAAAAATTAACCGCGTCTCCGAACCGCCAAAAACCGGATCTTATTAAGCTCCGTTTCAAGCCTCGAAATACTGAATACAACCTTCCGTTTGGGCCGCGTTTTATGAATGTTTGTAGCTTGGTTTAAGATTAGTAAGTTGAGTGGTTTGACTTTAATAAAGAAAGATTAGTTTGCAGGCAAAGCTGGGTTCTAATTAGGCTAATCTTTAACATTTCACATTTGTTTTTAAGAACATGCCTGATTCACAATAGTACCATTTAAACCTTTGTCCGATCGAGGATGCATGACACATTCTAATGTTCTGTCTGTAAATATATATTTTCAAGTGTGGGTTGCGCATTTAACCAGAAGGGACAAAGAAGACAATTTTAAAACTTTTCCGGAAAAAAAACATGACGTAGTTGTCTCCCTCATAGTTGTTCAGATAGACGTAGATACCATTGTGAATGGGCCATGTCATACTTTTTAAATTCAGAGTCACCTGAAACTACGTCGACAGTTCCTTTCAGAATAAAATTTTGTTGTTTTCCAAGGTGCCTGGTGCAGGGCGGGGGGCACGACGAGGAAAATACTTGAGGAGAAATTAGTCAGTTTTATTTTTAAATGTAAATTTTTTAGCCAAATTTTGACCATTTTTTAGCAGAAAATTGTAAATATTAATCTTTTGTCTTTCATTTTTTTGTTTGTTTCGGAAAATTCTATCTAGTTCACGTGTTTTCAATTGTAAATTCTAGATTTTTCATTTTTTTTTTTTACACCTCATTACAAAATTTGTTTAATATTGGTGTATGACTTTTTCTGAGTGAAATAAATCTTTAGAACCTAACTTAACATTTGATTAAGTTTAAAATTGAAACCAAGCTAACAAAAATTTCAATTCGAATTTAGTAAATCAAAAATAATCTTTATCCAAATTTTCTCCTGCTTTTAATCAATTATAAATTTCGTGGTATTATTCCAACATAAATATTAAGTATCTTTCAAATTCTAAATAGTATCTATTTCAGTAAATAATTAAGTAATCCCTTCATTTAATCAATTAATATGTTTCTCCCCCCTCCAACCCCTGGAACAAATTCGAAATTCTCCGGAATTAACATTTTTATTGCAGTTCAATTTCCTGTCTTTACTTCCAGTGAAACCCCGGTTTAAAGGGATTGTTCTTAAAAATGAAGTGAATGTAACCCATCAAGATTTAAATTTCTATTATCTAAGAATGATTTAGTACTAGCGCTTTAGTATTACACAGAATTTGATGTGACATTAACCTCTCCCTAAACCTTTGCAGGATAAACTTATCAGAAAACGAAAGGTTTTTTTTTGCTCTTTAGGGTCTCTTCAGTTTACTTTTCTCCTTGGTGCCAATGTATGTAGAACTAAGGAGGGACTGGATGTATTATAACTAAGGTGGAATGGGTTGTTAAGATCTATTTACGCTGTGTAATCATGCATTTATATGCAGCTGCAGATCTACAATTATGCATGTTGTACAGTTAAACCCTAAATATTAATTTCATCGAAATGATTCATCAAATGTCGTATTTTTCACTTTCTGATAATGGAATGTTGCAGATATTTAGTTTTTTTAATTAAATGATTATATGGAGCTCTTAAAACCTTTTCCCACATATTTATGGCTATTTTTTTATTTTCGCAATTACTGATATTTAAGTAAAATATCATAAAACCTATTGAAACATTGTCAAAACAACATTTGATAAATTATTTCGATGTATGGCTCATTTAGGGTTTAACTGTATAAGATTACTGATATAAATAAAAACGTTTGTTAAAATCAAAATGCTGATTTGTTCTAAATGAATTATCATAAGAAATACTGAGTCGAAGATGTTTTCTGAACGGATTGTACAGAATTCTAAAGGTAAATAATGATTAACCTCAAGGCGACTCCGTAGAGTCTTCATCCTGATATTGACTACGTAGAACCTACGGATCTGTAGATATAATCCACGGATATACGAGGATCTGAGATACTGGAAGAAAGAACCAAGGATTGCGGGAATGCAACAGTAGAATTTAAACCGTTCTAGCTCTCAGGTCTTCTAGGGAACCTTTCTTTCCACTGTTTACCGCTCTCGGTTAAATAAACACGGTGTTCAGATATTCTGGTTTTATAACAAGGTGTTCTGATATTCTGGTTTTATAATAAGGTGTTCTGATATTCTGGTTTTATAACAAGGTGATCTGATATTTTGGTTTAATAACAAGGTGTTCTGATATTCTGGTTTTATAACTAGGTTTTCTAATATTCTGGTTTTATAACAAGGAGTTCATATAATCGGTTTTATTACAAGGTGTTCAGATATTTTGGTTTTATAATAAGGAGTTCATATAATCTGGCTTTATAACAAGGTGTCCAGATATTTTGGTTTCATAGCAAGGTTTTAAATAGTCTGGTTTTATTACAAGGTGTTCATATATTCTGATTTGATAATAAGGAGTTCAAATAATCTGGTTTTATAACAAGGTATTCACTGTTCAGATATTCTGATTTTATAACAAAGGTGTTCCGATATTCTGATTTTATAACAAGGTGTTCAGATATTCTGGTCTCATAGCAAGGTTTTAAATAATCTGGTTTTATTACAAGGTGTTCAGATATTCTGGTTTTATAATAAGGAGTTCAAATAAACTGATTTTATAACAAGGTGTTCAGATATTCTGGTTTTATAACAAAATGTTCAAATAATCTGGTTTTATAACAAGGTTTCAAATAGTCTGGTCATAGACCAATCAAAATAACAGAACTCAAATTACAAGACAGAGAGAGAGCCTGTTTACGTCGACTAATAACTTCTTTAGGCTTCTGCCTCAGGGTTATTGTGAACAAAATACTTCTAAATCTTTAAAAGACGACATCTAGTGTCCTATCTGTTATTTTTATATATCTATGATTCTGCTTTTATTACAAAGTGTTCAGGTATTCTAGTTTTATAACAAGGTGTTCAGATATTCTGGTTTTAAAACAAATTGTTCAAATATTCTGGTTTAAAGAATTTGTGCACAACACTGCATAGCCGGTCTGTCCCTTTAAAAGTTATCACTAAACACTGATTTCTTTCAAGTCTTTTTTTTCACAAGTAACTCTGAACGTTGATGAAACTGGGGAGGAGAGGAGACTGTAAAGTCCTACAGAGTATTTAAGAAATTCAAGCCAAGTGTTATTAAGTTAAAAAGGCAAAAGTAACTTAATAATTGTTCCTAAAAACTCCCATAAATGTTAGGCTATAAATTGCAATAAAGAATGGTTCATATTTAAACTTTTTTTTCTTCCATCAAATATTCTCTAAATCCTGTTCTAAAGAATTTTCTCTGATTTCCTGATAAACGTTGAATATTTGCTGATAATCTAATAACTGGGAACATCATCATTTTATATTGTTGTAAAGAAGTTTGCGGGGAGGTGGAAACTTTTGAACTGTAAGTCCCTTTGGAAAGCGCTAATCCGTTTCTTTTCTAGTGCTACGGATTAAGTTGAATATATATAAAATCCCAACTATTTAGAAGCCAAAACTTTCAACTCTCTGTCAATAAGAGTTAAGTACTTTATCCTAAAATGTTAGAGTTTACGCGCTGTTGATTTTAAATTCAAAAGGTTTGACTTCAGTTGAAAAAGTTTTTGTTCTAAGGATTAGCATTTTCTCTTGTAAATGTCAGGTTTTTACTAAAACCCTTTAATTAATCGGTTTCCCATTTCCTTCCTTTCCACTTTACAGGGGCGTACACAGTGGGTGAGGGTATGGGGGCAGAGACCCCTCGCTGTAAAGGTAAAAGGTATAATACCCGATATTTAGCCATCCACCACCCAGGAAAAAATCCTGCATACGCCCCTTTCGTGTTAGCTTTACACGTAATTTATACATTTTCTTTTAACATACTTTCATTTCTCAAATCTTTTTCTAGTTTTTGATTTCTTTTATAAATCATTCCTTTTCACATTTAGTTTCTTTTCTCCAACTTTTCCTGAACCATGTTTCTTAATTTTATTTCCCATCCTTACTCTTCTTTCATTTATACTTATTTATATATTTCATTTTTTCTTCCATTCTTTCTTAACTTCTAGATGTGTTTTTTTGCCTTTCCGAACCTCGACATTATCGCAACGCCGTGGTCTTTGGTTTCACCTCGAAAATTTACTTTTCTGTCAAATCATTTTTGTAGTCTTAGACATATACAATTTAAAAATTCAACTAACTTGGGTCTAGCTTAGGATTAAATGGAGTAATTGGAAAAATACTACTTGATTTTTGCGTGAGAGTGCCACATCTTTGTTTGCAGTCCAGGTTGTATATTTTACATACAGACTCAGATATTAGGTACTCTCCCAATGGTATTTTCCCAAGTGGCAACTTCCCACATGTGCAATTGCCCAACCGGCAACTTCTCAAGTCTGTCCTAACCGCTGCGCTCTGTCCCCCTACCGACTATGAACCACAAAAAATGAATCATTAAATTTTATCTTTAACTTTGTTTTCATGATATTCTCTATATTTGTTTTCATTTTTAATGTTTAATTTTTTTAAGTTTCTGATTTCCATTTTCTATAATTTTTCATTTTTTTGTATCATTGTATTTTTTTCGCTAAGTAAACAAGAAAGTCTGCTTAATTTTATTATTCGTATTATTATGAAATGTACAAAATTTATGTGATATTACCGGTAAAACTTTGAGACATCGAAGCTTTGCACAAGTATGAGTAAACCAAATGTATTCTGAAACATATTAGAAATGTATTCTGTAACATATTAGAAATGTATTCTGTAACATATTAGAAATGTATTTTGTAACATATTAGAAATGTATTCTGTAACATATTAGAAATTGTCAAAACAGTTTTATTCTTTTCTTCAATAAGAGGCGAATCATTTAGCGCTAAAACCGTGTAAAGTGCAGAACACAATGTAACTATTCAAAGTTCCCTTTATCTTCTCTATCTTTCTATCTTTCTTTCTTTAGTTTTGTTTGTCCACACCAGAATTATTTAATAGCTATAAACAAATCATATAAAAGGTTATTCACTACCTTACCCTGCCCTTTAATCCCTTAAAGGGACTGTACGCGTACTTCAAGTTACCCCCGGTCAAAAAATAGTAAGATAATGGTTATTTTTCCATTCTTAAAAATGTTTAATTCTGACAATTTTCTTTATGGCCCGTTATGAAAAATCCTCTGGTCTCTTTTAAAAAAGAAACCACGACTTGAAATCCTCAATTTTGAATGCGAAAACAATGTGAAACTGTATATTCCGCAAAAATATCAGAATATCAAATGCCAATTGATCAAAAATCCTTAAATGATCAAAAAATGTACGCTAAATATTTTTAAATATCATCCACTTTTACAATAAGGTTAATTTTAAAGTTTCTTCTATTTTCTTCTCTATTCTTCTCTTCTGTTTTCTTCTCTTCTCCTTTCTTCTCTTCTAATTTCTTCTCTTCTATTTTCTTCTCTTCTATTTTCTTCTCTTCTGATTTCTTCTTTTCTATTTTCTTCTCTTCTAATTTCTTCTCTTCTCCTTTCTTCTCTTCTACTTTCTTCTCTTTTCTTCTCTTCTATTTTCTTCTCTTTTCTTCTCTTCCATTTTCTTCTCTTCTAATTTCTTCTCTTCTTTTTTCTTCTCTTCTAATTTCTTCTCTTCTCCTTTCTTCTCTTCTAATTTCTTCTCTTCTATTTTCTTCTGTTCTATTTTCTTCTCTTCTATTTTCTTCTCTTCTCCTTTCTTCTCTTCTATTTTCTTCTCTTCTTATTTCTTCTCTTCTATTTTCTTCTCTTCTAATGTCTTCTCTTCTATTTTCTTCTCTTCTAATTTCTTCTCTTCTCCTTTCTTCTCTTCTAATTTCTTCACTTCTATTTTCTTCTCTTCTATTTTATTCTCTTCTATTTTATTCTCTTCTATTTTCTTCTCTTCTATTTTCTTCTCTTCTATTTTCTTCTCTTCTAATTTCTTCTCTTCTATTTTCTACTCTTCTAATTTCTTCTCTCCTATTTTCTATACTATTTTCTTCTATTTTCTTTTCTTCTCTTTTCTTCTTTTCTTTTTTCTTTTTCTCTTTTCTTCTTTTTTTTTCTTTTTTCTCTGAACAATGCAGTACTATCCGTTGTTATGATTTTTCTCTGATTTGTTTGCATTTCTAGCTTGTAGACCTAATTGAAACGTACAGCGTTTGTACTCTATAATTAGGCATTTGATCATTTGGCATTTGATATTTTGATATTTTTCCGTATATTCCGATACAAAAGGGTAAACTTTGATGTAGTTAGTTTGACGAACGATATGTGGCCATTCTCCGAACAGAACCTTGTATTATGTAGTTGACATTTAGTTTCTGCTTATTATTAACATAAAGCAAACTACTAAACAAATTATACAACAAACTTTTCTTCCAAAATAGAGACACAAAAATATGAAAATCTTTAATGGGAATGTTTAGAATTATCATGTTTCTTGTTAAATATTGTTAATTATACAAATGCTAAAAATAACAAAATTCGAGCTTTCCAAAAAATGTATAAAACTGGCCGCGCATTTAAAGTACATGATTATACACTGAATTTATCTTACCCCCCCTCCTCCTCCTTATCGCAGTACTTAAAAGGTATGGCTCTGGAAATACTATTTTTAATTTAAAGGAAAAACAATGTTCTATTTAATGTATAAAAAGAGCAGTTATAATAAATGATAAAGAAGTGTGTGTTATTGCAAATAAAATGAACAAAAAAGAAAAATGACATTGCATCCAATATTTTACAATTGGTCTTTATTGCCCTGTAACTTAAAGGGACTGTGAACATAATTAAAATTTGGAAGGTCTGATTCAGAAAAGCACCCTTTAAACCTTTTCCTAATCAACGACGACGATATATCCTTATTTTTCTAACTAAAAAATAGTGCCAGGATGCAGTGGTTGATTGGATTTTGTTGAGGGAGGGGGGGGGGTAGGTAGAGATATCAGGGGGGGAGGTCTGAAAATCTAAATATCATTTACGAAAGAATCTCATGCATTAAGAATAGAAGTAAGTGTTATTTTGTTAAAATAAAGAACATTTACTTGTGTACTGTGATTCACCTCAAAAAACATTTTTTTACAATTTATAATTTTTGGAATTTTTAGTCATATAAATTGGACACAGTTGATACAGACAAATTCTGATTTGATTCTTCTTCTGTCATCGTTTCTCTCCTTCTTCCTTTTTTCTTTTCCTTCTGTTGACAGTCCTTGATTCTAATAATTTTGAAATAAAATGAAAAATTTTTGAAACCAGTATTTATTCGGATACTGCTCAATCATATTAAATTCTCGAAACCAGTATTTATTCGGACACTCTGCTCAATCATATTAAATTCTCGAAACCAGTATTTATTCGGACACTCTGCTCCATCATATTAAATTCTCGAAACCAGTATTTATTCGGACACTCTGCTCAATCATATTAAATTCTCGAAACCAGTATTTATTTGGACACTCTGCTCCATCATATTAAATTCTAGAAACCAGTATTTATCCGGACACTCTGCTAAATCATATTAAATTCTCGAAACCAGTATTTATTCGGACACTCTGCTCCATCATATTAAATTCTCGAAACCAGTATTTATTCGGACACTCTGCTCCATCATATTAAATTCTCGAAACCAGTATTTATTCGGACACTCTGCTCAATCATATTAAATTCTCGAAACCAGTATTTATTCGGACACTCTGCTCCATCATATTAGTTTTCAGTTTTGTTATCTAACTCAAGAATACCTGACTTGACAAGCTGATTGAAGGTTAATACAGTGCTTACTCAGCTTCAACTCATACTTAAGAAATATTTTCTGAAATGGAGGCAAAATGGGGGGGGGGACGTCTTTCCATCCTATCTCCCTATCTTCCTATGAATTCTTCATTCGCCAACGGGAAAATTGATAATTGATGGTGTAGAGCTTATCATAAGAATTCCCTACCATTTTTTATGTTCAATTTTTATGTTTCTTCATGTTAATTGTTTGTAGGTTTCTGCGTTTTATTTTGAGTTCCATGTCTAAATCCTGGTTACGCCTAGTGGTCATAAAAATGGAGCTGACAACATTTGTCTACTAAGAATTCAATTCCAAATGCTGTGTGTGACAAATAGGCAGGGTTGAGGTGTAGGAGTTGGAAGTTATAATAGGTCAGGAAGGGTGCATCTTGTGATTACATAAATGCA